GCTCATTATTTTTGCACCAACCTAATAATACATACGGCGATTCCCAGCAACTAGTGTGACGGTAAAGAACAAAAAGACTTTATTATTGATTCCAGCAATCATCTACTACAGGCATTCAAAAACAAGCTGCAGCTCATTCAAATTGGCTGCCGCCTTATCTAGCAATGTGTGCGCAAGGGCGTAAAGCATACCTTCGATACATAGAGCCATGTACTCTGGTAACCTGTACTTTGAGCGTCATGATGGAACACAACCTTCACCTGGAGAGAAGTACAGAAGTCATCCGGGGCGAATCCCCGGATATTATGACATAACTAATGACATAGCCATGTAGGAATGAATGTGAATGAGGCAGATACAGCAGTGACGTTCAAAATTGCCTTTTTTGCTGAAAAGAAGGTTTTTATTCAAAAATTCAATTAAAAACTAGGACAAAATTTCTCAATTAACTTTTATCTAAACTGCGATTGAGCGCTGGAAGTTCATAAAAGCCGCTGGAGTTCACGAAAAACAAGAAACTGCGCTCAAGTCTTGCGCAGAGAGTCGCCATATAAATGCTGGTCTATCTCGTTATGGAGTGATTGTTAAGACCCGTGACGTTGTCAGTGATCCTGGCCGTCTCATGAGGATAACAACGGTATATAAAGTTATAGGGTTTCGTTCTGAACCCGCGGAGATCAATGACCAGAGCCAAACGCCCCGCCGGCTTTGGTCTGTCTCCGCTGCTCGTCTGCGTCTCCGCGCGTTGCGCGTACCTCGCTACCTTAAATGCGGGGCGCGGGGCATTTGGCTCTGGTACCTTTTTCTTCGTTGTTCGGAGCCCAATTTCGACAATCTATATGTCATATTAAAGCTCTTGATCTCTATTTTCACGCTGACAACGTCGCAAGACTCCTTTTTATGATTTAAACGAAAAATCTGGAAAAAACGGCGTTTTCGAAAACCTCTTGTTTTTTCTTGAATTTGAGTCTTTTCACTCCGGTTTTTTGTGCATTCGATAGGTCTTGTTTCTATATATGATGTAGGCAATGTCGCCGAGCTTAGTTCTTTGCTTATGCCGGTTTTTTTGTGAAAATTGCTAAAAAGTGCATCTTTCTTTACTTTGTTCTCTTTCAGTGCTCTTGCAACAAATTTTCTCCAGCTTGGACTATACTTGCTCAGAATGATGAGCGGAAGAATCCAAACAACGTCGCAGGATACGAAACGAATATGCGGGGGTGAAAATTCAAAGGAAGCATCAAAAATCAGATTGGCGTCGATGTGCAACTTAACTTTTCACACATGTTTAACATGTTCAATTCAGTTGTTGACAAGTTTTACTTCTTTCGGACTCCCAACTACCAGCACAGCTAAACAACGCTTTTTTTAATTGGAAAAGAACTTTGTTCTTGTTGCCACTCAATTTAGCAGCAATCTTGAAGACGAAACTGTGCCTAGGAAACCACCAAGTTAAGGTTTCATATTTGGTGATATGCTTTATAGAATTCTCCAAGTTTCCTGGTTTAATTCATATCTTTAAATTTCCATCTATTTTACTGAAACAACCTTCACTTTTTATAGGGGGCAAGAACTCAAACAACTATCACTTTCTAGCCTCTGTCTCTTGGCTATCGAAGGTATGACGTAAAGTATGCCGAGTTGACGTGCTATCGTAAGCCAAAATTTTCTGAGAATTGTTCCGAAGTATAGAAGAGGAAAAAACAGTCAGATCTTCTTCTGACAAGAAGAAGAGAATGGCATGGCTTGAAACCTCTACTATCAAGAGATTAAGGTCTACCTGTTCCTACAATACCAAAATCTTTGATGTTCGAGCGCTTTGAAAACTAGTTATTGGGGTGTGGTACACCCCCAAAAGAGCTGCGGCCGTCACACCTTTTCAGGGGTTGTGCCACACCCCATTAACTTTATCAAAGAAAGGGTTTTAGGTTACGCTGCGCAAAATCATTTGATAGCGCAGGCCCCGTACTACGTATACGAGAAGTTTGGACTCGATTTCTCTTCTTTTGCCTGAATCATGGTTGCAGAAAACGCAACCACTGAAATTGTAAAGTGCGACAAACAAGGTTTTGGCTGGCTTCTAATTCCAAGATTTGGCATTCATTTGAAGTACGATTGCTCTTGTGGGGAGAGAAGAATCAGTGCTTTGTATTGAGTGCAAAATGAAATAACTGAATTACCACTGAAATGAAGTTGATCATGTTAAAAAATTACTATATCCACAAGGTTACTCACTATTCGGAATCATCAGAGTTTACTGGAACTTGGTGCATAGGGGTTATTCGACATGCTGATCACGAGAACGATACTCAATTCTCGCGATCCTCCTTATTAGGCTTACGGTAGGCATACGGTATTTTGATAACTCGGTGTCTTCGAACTTGCTTCGATTTTGTCTACTTTAAGTGGATATTCCCTTGGAAACCGTTTTTATCTTGCAACCTCCTCCCCTTACAGAACTCCCTGGTACGACCCCCCTGCTGTGACGTGCCACAGCCCCTCGCTTTACCCTGACTATGACCTCAACTTCTAGCAAGGGAAGAATTTCAAGTCGCAGTGGCCAACTGGAATGAAATGCATACCGATACATGGGTCTATAATCTGATCCCAAATCAACCTTCCATGTCTGCTGTGCGACTTTTTAGAAGAAGTTATGAACGCTTAAATGTCTGAAGTCATTGATGTTTCAATGCATAATGTGCTTTAAAATCTAGCTTGGGAGTGCATAATTGGCATAGTGTGAGTGTACTGCCTACAAGGAATGCAGACAATTACCTTAACACGTTGACGACCAGCCATTTTTTGTGTCTGTCCCTGTAGACGAGCCGTCCCCCTGGCTGCAGAATATGTAAGCATCCATGTAGGATGAACAAAATTACAAGCGGACGGGCAGCTCCGCCCCTTTTGACAAGCTTCGCCCACTCGGCCAAAAATATTGGATTTTGCCTAAATTTCAAGAATCTGTGCGGATTCTGCATTTTTCAAAAGTGGGCGAAGCTTGAACCGAGGGGCGGGGCGTATCTAAAAGAAGGCGCGCCAAGGCTGAAGTCGCTTGAGGTTCCGCGGTCATTTATGGTTTTTGCTAGGCAATTTGAGGACTAAAAAAGTTTCTTGTAGAAGGCAGCGGAGTGGGCGGAGAATGTCAAAATAGGGGCGGGCTAACATGAAATACCCCTAAGGCAGGCGCTATACTCCTCGAGGAGTATAACATGGCGATCGCCCGTCGCCAATACTGGCGACTGTGTCCTCTATACGTATCGATCGCTAACAAGTTACCACACGTTCAATCGATACACATTTAATGTGTAGTCGCCAATACTGGCAACTGGCGATCGCCAATATCGGCGCCAAAAATCGCTGGTTTTACACGTATTTAAATATCGATCGTCGCCATGCTATACTCCTCGAGGAGTATAGCACCTGCCTTAGCCTATACTGAATATATCAACACAAATCAAAACGTTTGAACACCTTATTAGTTTTGAAAGCTAAATAAGACGCATTCAGTGTTACCGCATGAAACTGCAAAACTTTTTGACGTAGTGTTAAGAGGTGTGATTTACATAATATCGAGATCTGAGTTTGTAATGTGCGAAACAGAGTAAGATATAGCGAGATGTCAGAGTGGCGGCAAACTTTTGGCCAACACTTCAAATTGAGTGCTCCACGAAGGTGGGACTCGAAAGACGATATTAGGCAATTTTGGAAAGAAATCCTTCTCTTAGTTGCTGCAGCCTCATTGAGTGTGCACAGAATTGTCAGGAATTTGATTGTAATACTTCGTTACATTCGCAGTGATCATTAATAGAATGGGTATATAGAGTCTGAGCTTGAAAACGAGTAAAACTTTCAAAACAAGCTAAAACCAACATTTGCGACTCATTACGATCTTGTCATGAGCATCAGACACGGCAAGCTAGCCTGAAAGAAATCGAAAAAATCAAATTCGAATTATTGAAGTCCATTTTTCGTTGAGGATTGGTCGTCAAAACACCGACTCATAACAACTTTTGTCATTCAAAATGGTGAGCAAAACTTATTCGCTGCTAAATCAAAGAACATCGCCTCACTAACAAGGAAAAATGAAAAGAAAAAAAGAAAAATGTGAGAGAAGAATATGGCGCAAATGATTTCTAAGAGAGAAGGTTACTTTCAAGAAGTTTGGCAGAAAGTATCGCCTTTTTAGCAACATACATACATGCCCGTAAAAAAATTTGGCATCTTCTAAAGATTTTTCCTATCTAACAAGAAGAGTCAGCTTTGTGCTTGCATCAACAGGATTTCTACAAAAAAATAAAAAATCTGTTTCGATTTCCATCATCAATTTTCTATTTGAAAGCATGTTCCCTTTATTATATTAGGTTTGGAGTAGTGTAACCGTTGCACGTTACCGTTCTTTGGCTTTGTTTTGACCCAGTAAACTAGCCTTGAACAGTGTTCTCGCACATTTAATTGTGTCGGGAATGCACAACATTCGGAGTATTGAGATTATGGTTTCGCAGAGTCTAATTAAGTTATCTTTGAAATATCCATAACAAATAAAACAACGAGCTACTATCAACGGCCTTAGCGTTTTTATTTACGATGCCGTTTTTTAAATTTTCAACTGCAAGCTGAAAAAATCTGTTGAAACTCTGAAAGAAGCTGTATCTCGGGCGCATCAATTTAAAAAACTGCGAGATAAATGACCAAAACGGAAATTATTCAAAAGAGCTGATTAATATAATATTTCCATTATTTGCTGAAGTGCATCGCAATTTCCGTGCTCGTTTACTTTCATGATTTTCATGGTTGTGACAAACCAAAAGTTTGAAAATACCTCGAAAAACTCATGCGTAATGCCCGTTTTTCTCCAATTAATCTCCATATATCTCATTTCATAATCTGTCATACCGCTGTCAACGATCTTTACGAACCTGGGGACGCATTTGGTGACCTCGAATTGTGAATGTAGACTATAAAACCCACTAGCGAAGTTTTTCGACGAGGTGTCAGAGTTATACATGACTTCGCTACTGGTAAGTAAACATTTACAGTGATAGTTTTTTTATGCTAAGAATTTTCCAGTGACATTATCCTTTTTGAGCAAATTACTTTCAGCGACTATACAGCAGGTATAAAAGACACTTGAGCTTCTGTCAAGAATTCAAAACCGTTGAATTTGCCACCGTTCGCTTAGATATGGGTTCTAACAAAAAAATTGATAGAAAGACTGCAGACCATACGCTCAAACAGTCAATTACCATTTCACACGATATTTGTTAACTAAATTTTTTGTTCTCCATTTGACGGCTGCACTTCAAAAGAATGCTTGCATTTCTTTCTCCTTTTCTGTGTTCACATGACATCTTCATAGAAAACGCGAATATGAACGTTCAAGACTTTATGGGGCTAAGATATATTAGGTTTCGAAAGTTCTTGCGTGATTCAAACAAAATTCAATATCTTTCAACACCTAAACCCGAAATCACAATCTTCTACAAATATTAGAAGCCCTGCGCTTCATGATGGAGGCTAAGTACAAAATTCCATAAGCTAGCCCCCGAGAACGAAGCTCTCAAATTTGGGGCTTCAAATTTTGCGATTTTGAGTTTGGTGTCAGAAAATTGCAGAAAGCAACTAGCTAGCCGAAAAAAATGTAGAAATTACTTACACAGCAGAAGTCCATACCTTATTTTAGCAGGCTTTGATCTCGCATGGAAGTGCGAAAAGAAAAAATTTGTGGAATTTGCTATTTTACAGGAATCCCCTTATCGTTGTAATTTTTCAAGAGAAACACAGTTTGCAACCAGAAATAAGACCTAGTGCCTATTTAGAACCTTCCTACGTTTTTTGGAGTGTAAAAAAGTATTTTCGCCAAAAAACTGCGGTAATGAGGGAATTTCTTCCGCAAAATGGCATATTTCACGAATTTTTAGTGTTGCTTTACCGCACAAGATCAAAACCTTCCAAAGTAATTAGGTTTTCAGAAGTTTGTTCGCATTGTTCTTTAAAAAATCGTAACTCCCTGCTATCTGCCTCAATTTGCCCGGAATAATTTTTTCTGGAATTAAGAGATCGTGTAGTTTCTAACTAAGGGTTGAATTCGCTCTGCTAAGCACAAGTTGCAGAGTCAAAAATGCAAAAAAAAAGACCACTCAAAATTTTGTAATTTCAAAAAAGCTCACCGAAAAATCTTAAAACGTAAAAAAAATACCGAAACGAACACAGACATATACTTTATGATCTCTTCTTTGCAGCTAGGCAAATTCCTTACTGAATGAATGTTCCTAAGAAAAGTAATGATTTTTTAGGGATTTGCTTCCGTTTTGACAAAAATCAAAATCGCTCTCGATTAGCACGAAACTCTCTTAGCTATAAAGAGGAGGTCATAAAACCCTTATCTATAACCGTTTCGACCTCCGCTACGGCGTTTTTAGGTTTTTTGAGCGTGCTTAAAAATTGCAAAATTGAAGTTCTCTTCAAATGCTTTTAACTCGTTAACTGTTGCATAATAATCCATGGGGAAGGTGCCACTGTAATGTGCAAAAATTTCTCTTTTAAACAAAAATACTCTTAGAGTTTTTCGTGACCCTGCTTGAAAAATGCCAACCTTGAGTGATTGCTTTCAATTGCTTCTAACTCTCAAAATTTCTCATATTAACTCACGGCAGAAGCAGTGCTGTAAAAGGCATAGCTTTTTCTTTTAAGTTATTATAATTTCGAAAAAATTCATCAATAAGAAAGGAAGTTATGGTTTTTTGAAAAACTGACGAACGAACTTTTGAAGTGACCTCATAAAATATGGATTCCTGCTGTGAAAATAACTTTTGCAGATTTTTTTCGGCTAGCTAGCGGCACTCTGCGATTTTCTGACACCAAACTCAAAATCGCAAATTTTGGAGATCCATATTTGAGATTTCGTTCTAGATGTCTAGATTATGGAATCTTGTGCTTAAAGGTCCATCATCGAGCGCAAGCCTTTTAATATTTTTAGAGAGCAGAATTGTGAATTTGTGTTTGGGTGTTAAAAAATTATTGAATATTGTTTGAATTACGCATTTCGAGCCATTCTAATATCTGAAGAGATGAAAGTCTCAGTTCTTGAATAATTCTCTTCAGCTCCATTGTATAATGTTCGCATTGCAGATCCCTCTCTTGTTCGCAGCTCTAGTTCGCTATGCCATAGCAGCTAATGGTCAGTTTTCTATTTGTTACTTTTTCTCTTGAATTTGTTTGAGCCTTGTGATTTATTATGGCTGCGATGTCTTCCCTCTCCATATGTAACTCACAAAGAACGAGCCGTTATCTAACTCGCTAACCACTTTCTCTCGGCTCCCTAATACTCTTAATGATATTAACCCCACGGCATATTGCTAGAAGAGCCATTGGTTGTGCTTTCAAATGAATTTTGGGGTTTGGGCTTATAATCGATTTCAAACTTCAAGACTCTGGCCATTTCAAAAGCAATTTCTTGCACTTTAACTCAAACATTTCCTTTTAATTGTTTAACGCGCTAGTAGAGAGGGAAAAGGAATTTTGGCTCCATTATAAAAGATTCTGCTTGCTGTGAATCGTAAGAGCATTCGAAGCCATCATGAAACACGTCCTTCTTTGAAATTTTGATGTTAATGGCCCGCTGAAGTTTTGGAAGGCGTCTCAAAATTTTTGGAGATCTTCGCAAACGTCATGCTTCTTTGTCCCGAAAAATTCTGTCGCTTCTCTCTCCGCCGATAAAAATTTGGGGGTAGCACTGCCCCTGACCATTCGAACAATAAATGATGAATTAAGTCTAGAAAATTGTTGCTCCTACGCTTTCTACCCCTTTTGATGGGAGAAAGTCATTTAACTTACTTGTTTTCCTAATTCCTTCAGATAATTTTGCTAATACTGCAAAGCAAGTGCGAATTTTCACACTTCAAAAAAATTGGTTTCAAGAATTTCGTAGAACATTTGCAAAAAAGATAATTTCTTATAGCACGTACGTAATGCATGCATTTTAGGAATTGATGGGAACAGCTGCATGAACATGCGTTGTGAAGAAGGGATGGTATGCGTGAAAGGTCGAGAGGGCTCGGAATGCATGGCTATAGATCCTTGTGAGTCTTTCAGTCGTCATGTCTATTCAACCTATCAGCAGTATGGTACTTTATCCATTTTCAGCCAATAACTGCAACACGCTTAGATGTTACGGTGCTGGATGTAAATATAAAGCTACTGAGTGCATCCCGGATAAAGCGTGCTTTGCCGAACCCACGTGCAACAGTGGAGCAAGTGGAGCACGACCTCGGGGTTCACCGGCTAATCAAGTTCCACAAGCAGCTCCCTCGGGTAAATTCTAATGCTTTTCTGCAATTTTCATAGCCTCGCTCTAAACCATGAAAATGCAGAGGAAAAAACTATATCTATGCAGGGGAGGGGACAGAAATTATGGAAGTTTTGGTTTTGGCATGTGATGTGACCATGAACTGTTTCGGCTATTTATTACTCTTGTCCACAACTTGGAAAAAAACTGCCTATGGTTTTGTTTTTGTAGTCAGATGCCGCCACCAGACAAATTGTTTCGAAAGATGAAACAAAGATTTGTCCTTTCTAAAGTTCAGATAACTTTCCCCTTGTTCGTGGCAAATAACCTCGTACTAATACTGGTGCTACTAATGGAGCAAGTATTTTGATCGTGATGCTAGAAAGGCTACTTTTAATCAGGAAATGAACCGTAAAAGTTGATTTGAGGAAAGTGTAGGAATGAAAATATTTATTAGCAAATCTACCCTGTTGAACTTGTGATGCTTACTCAGTTCAGGAATCTCAACTACAACTGAAAATTATTTGATTCATGGATTTTTCCGTTTTCCATACAGTACCGGTATTTACCTATATTTCCTTTAACAAACTCCTTTGGCTTGTTCTTTATGAGAAATAGAGCACTCTGCCGTTCTAAATGATCTAATTGATGTTACGAAAAAGTTCCCAAGTAATGTATAGAGCCAATTTTCCAACCCTTCATATGCGAGCTCATTTTATAATATGCCGCTTTCCGTACAAATTTTGCAACCGTAAACGAAATGGATGGCACTGCTAATAGCAAGCATTCTGAAAAAGTTTGCGGGATGAATATGCATCTTTCGTAAGGAAATGCGCGGTTCTTAAGAAAACCTTTCTCCAAGTGTTGCTCTACATCACTTTTTTGTAACAAAGTCTCCAAACCAAATAATTCCTTTTCCAGCACCAACACAATCGCCTCCAACAGGACAATCTCAACCTCCGTGTCTTGCGAAATGTTCGGAAAACCAACGATGTGTTTTGAGATATGATGACAACAGCTGTTATAATCCGCCATGTATGCCCGTGCCCACGTGTGTCAACCTCACCACTCAGCCAGTTGATATTGAAGGAAATGGAGGAGAAAGTTAGTTGAACAACTATTCTCAGAGAGAAAAGACGAAAACTTTTGCTTACGGTCATTTTATATGTTAAACAAAGCTGCTTACGCAAGAGCATAGTACCAAAAATAGAAAAACATTTGTTTTAACTTCAGCCATTTCCTATTTTCTAGTCAGTCAAAGCCTCTCTCGATGTGTCAATCACTCATGTCACTCTACCATTTGATTCAACCGGCTCGGTTTCGGGAAGACGAGTACGAATTCGTGACCCAATCGAGGCTAGGTAATGTCAGAGAGCACTCGCGCGAGAGAGACCGTGCGTCGCAGGCGCGAGCGGCCTTAATCAGGTCACAGAACCGCGCCTTCCCGAAGCCAAGCCAGTTGAATCAAAGGTTACTTGCACCATTACCAAAATGAAGACTGAATGTTCCTATGGCATTCCGTACATGCTAACTACTTCCTTGATCATCCGCGCTCGAAGGTGTAAACAATTTTTCGCACATTCAGCAAAATCTTTCTTTCTTGTTTTCTAAAATTTCTAGAACACCAAGTCCAAAGAAAACGATTGGTATTGAGACGTTGATGTAATAAAAGGCAGAACTTTCTAAGCCATATCCGCGATCAGATTAAGTGACCGTCAGCAAAAAAATTAAAAAATGCCTTTGGAATTGCTCAGGCTGATTGATTCTTTAAAAGACGTCGAACGGTCTTGCTAAAGTTTTATTCATCGGCTCAAATTGTTGGAAGGTACGCTTACAAGCAAACCAAATTTAAAGCATTTTCAAAATTCTGAGATGCTGGCTTCAGAAAGCAACTTTACCTTAGCATCTGCGATTCAAAAACCTTTGCCTTCTATATATTTTTTTAAGTAGAAGGTACATGAATAGTATCTTGTTATAGTAAACCCTTTTTAGGCAGAATTTTTGCGCAAGGAGTAGAGTGGATGCGGTAACTTTCTCTGCAGTTCTTCTCTGGATCGCATTTGGTGACAAAGATTCGATGTTTGCTCTTGGGTATAGCTTCATTTCACAGTTTTGAAGATATCAGTTGTTCACAAAATAAAAATAGTATTTAGAATACAAAATCAAAGCGTAAAGGGCTTAAATTACTCGAATCGAGTCTGCCAAAAACTATAAAATTTTTGAGCGTCGAGCACATTCTGATGGTAACACCGTGACAGAAGCTTATGCTATACCACAGTGATCTGTTGAAATAGTGCAGAGATTTAGAAAACTGCTTGAAATTCTTTAGTCGACTGATGATTCGTTTGCGAAAACTCTCTTTCAGTTCGACTTGCTGCCTGCAATCTGTTCTGTATACAAGGAAGACGATGCCAAGTGACACCAGCTGGTCCCAGATGTGTTCCAATTCCTATGTGTGCAGAACTAACTTGCCCAAGTGGCCAAACGTGTAGACAGGATGACCTTGACCTGGTTAGTTTCGCAAATATTTAGCTAATGTTTGCAGAATTTTTGTATTTCAGCCTGCGATGTGCCATCCAACTCAACCAGGTAGCTTGAACACTATTAGAATACTTTCCATTCTTTGTTTTTCCATTGAGCAAAGCAATCATACAGGCAAATAAGATTCAAGCTTCAAATTTTTTATGAAATGCTGGTTTCGGGCTTGATATGCGACACACTTCTATTAATCACGCAAAAAAAAAATCGACCTGTAATGAAAACAGAGGAAACTTCGACTTATAAAAAGTCGAGATTATCATAGTCAAATGTTAGACGTTTTATGTTGTATTTGTATTGTGTTTTTATATTGTAAGACCAATACCCAATCTGATCAAAATCGAACCAAATTGTAATGGGAGCCTCATACATGTGGTATGCGAAAATTTTGCAACACGAATAATGAAAGGTTTCATTACCTGACTGAATAATATTTCAAATAACCTTATCATTTGACTGGAAATTAATCTAAAGGCCGGGCATTTTTTGTGTTTTCTTAATCCACTACTCAGGATGGTGGTCCAGCTTTTAAAACTTGCTAAAAGCTGACACTCTAAAAAAGTTCAAATATCAAACATGCAATGTAACAAAATACCCTTCTCACTACGTATCATTTTTTGTTAGTGATATATAGGCCTGTGGAAAGGAAGCACACTCTAGTCTATTCAGCGTTGGAAATTCTTCAATGTAGATTTTTTGCAGTTTGTGGAGAAAACGAAGAAGTGAACAGTTGCGGAGCACTTTGCGAGCGAAAATGTGAGAACGTCGGAAAGGTATGTACTCAATTCAAAGATCATCGCTTCCATTGAAGTCATTTTCAGGGACCCATAGTCTGTCCATTGATCTGTCTACCACCAGCATGTGTATGCAAAGAGGGATTCTATAGAAATCCAACAAGTGGTCGTTGTGTTCCAGCCATGCAGTGTCCACCAAGTGAGTGATGAATCATCCAAACTAATTTGTTAATTACAGCTGACATGACTAGAATGTTTTTATCTGATACTAACGATTACTATAGTAGTACTGTAATCTACAATAGCAACAATAACCTCTTGAGATATGAATTGCGCATATAAGTACATACACTTTTATCGATGCTACTCTAATTCAACCATAATCTTCATCATGTGAATATGTATGTCACCTAGCAAAAAAAAACAAGGGCTTTGTTATTTATTGGCACTAACTACGTAGAAACAGAACCACAACAAGTTTTACTCAAACTCAGCGATTTTAAGCCATTACAATTTCAGTTTGCGGTCCAGAGGAAGAACTGCGCCAATGTGGAAGTTTTTGCCAACCTAGGTGCCCTCCAATAGGACGCTTGGTATACCTAATTTCATTCGTATAATCCAATTTCATTTGCACGTCCTTTAATTTACAGCCAGTATGCCCGACAGTCTGTGGCCCACCTGACTGCATATGCAGAGCACCACTGGTGCGATTGGGAGAACGGTGTGTGCCACAGAATATGTGCCCGAGTGAGTGAACATTTGTCTAGAAATTTTTTCAAAATAAAGCAATCAGCTAAGAAAATCATTAAGTTTTGTGTAAACAAATATTAAGAGCAAGAGTTCCCTCATTCAGAAGATTATTAGATTTGAACCATCCAGCACTGAACACACTGTGACAAAAAGATTAGGTTCAATTTTTTGCAAAATCGAAGGCTACCGCTGGCAAGTAAAACCTTCTATCAAGTTATCTGCACTATAATATTCTTGCGTCTGCACTATAATATTCTTGCGTTTTCCTGGTAATTAGTTTTTAGTAAGAACTTATGTCATTTTTGTGTGATTCGTTTTTTTTTTTGAGAAGATTTTTGATTGGAGTGACTTGTGTTAGTCACGCCCTCAATTTATCTGCGAAAGTAGTAGCCTTCATGTTTAGGTATCCGCATAGTCGAATCGCGCGAAAATGATATAAGCGATTAGTAACCAAAATATGATAATCTGTATTCCATGAAATCAAGAAAGCTATTACTTTGAAGTAAACTTTTGATCCAATCGATAGCGTTTGGAGGAAATATTTTTAGGAATTCCACCTATTGCTACAACACCAACAACGCCTTCGCCTATGAACTCCTCTCCTTCCCCAGGTACGTACCCCTTCCGAAAATCTTTCGAATTCTGTCAAATCATTGGTTTGCTATCCAGTTACTCCAACACAGACGACGCCTTCGGCTGGGAGCTCTTCTACTCCACCAGGTAGGTATAAACCTATCACAAATTTTCCAATCCTTTTCTAATGAACTTTCACCGTCCCTCACTACAGCGGTTCTATGACAAACAACGAATAAGTACAGATGGCTGAATTTGGCTGAATTAGGTTAGGTATTTTTCTTTGACTGGAAAATCTGACTCTTTCTCGAGGTAGCAATGCTTGCTTCTAGATCCGTGTGGAGATGGATAAGCTAAATCTCCCAGTATACAATGACTTTCCTCGATTAATTTAAAACTTTCCCATTTTGGATAATTTTAGCTTGAAATCATTCATAAGGCTATGTACATCACTAATGTGTGGAAGATCGGAAATAGAGGCAAAACGCAGGCAAACTCTTTGGCCAATAAAAAGTTTCTAAAAATGCACAATGGTAAAAAAAGAATAACATCTATAATACTAAACTGTACTATGAATTTCATTTCATATCGTACCTTCAGTAATTCACAAGTGTTCCAAAACTCCAACCACCGCATTTTCCTACTGACTACTCTCGCTGCATGGATACCAAAAAGCCAAAACAAATCGAAATAAGCTTTTAAACCTAAAGTGTAATTTAAGAGGGTTACTAACAGACAACATGAAGCCTGGTTTAGATCTTAGAAGGTCAAGCTGTCTGAGCTTTTTCATGTGCCTGAGCCGCTCAATTACCTTCAGAATCCCCAAACCGCAATTTTGCTAAGATTAGGTAGCTCAAAACTTGTTCTTGCCAAATTAGTAATTCGGTCACAAAACGTTCCTTTCCTGAGGAAGATAAAGTTCTTGAAACACTCATACCTTTGAAAAATACACAGTCAATCAGAGTTACTGTGTTGGTCGCGTGCATTTGCAGAATAACAGGCGCAGAGACTCATAAAATTAAAAACTGCCAGTACAGGCTTGGTCCTCTCCAAAGAGCGACATTTTGAGATTACGAAGGTGAGAAGAGGAAGGTGTCTTTCAGGTGGATGCGCAAAAGGGGGGGGGGGGAGGGTTATTTCGAAAGGACATGTGCTTGATCTCTTGCTCAACCCTGCTAACGACGTAGAAAACAAAACCATTTCAAGTAAAGCTCAAATCATGGTTTGAAATTGAATACAGTTCCAGTTTGCCGCGCAGACGAAGAACTGCGCCAGTGTGGAAGTTTTTGCCAACCTAGGTGCTCAGTAGGACGATTGGTTTGTTTTTATTCGTATGAATCCAACTTTATCGGCACAATTTTTCATTTGCAGCCAGTATGCCCAACCGTCTGCGGCCCACCTGACTGCATATGCAGGGCACCAATGGTGCGATTGGGAGAGCGATGTGTGCGAATAAATGACTGCCCGAGTGAGTGAACATATAACTAAAAGATTTTGCAATTTACGGCAATCAGCATCTAAAGCACGTGAAGGGCATTCAGTGGCCGTATTCATCAACGAAACCCAGTGGGTTATCCTACCCAGTGGGTAGCCTCAACCCACGAAACCGGTATTCACGAAGCTGCTGGGTAAGCGAACTCAGTGGGTTAAGTCTACCGCTAGGTCGGCTAACCCACAAAATGCCGCCATACCGGTATTCACGAACAGCTTCGATGGGTTAGCCTACCCAATACCGGTATTCAAGAAACTCCTTACCCAGAAATCGTGGGTTCCGATACCCACTTTTCGTGGGTAACTTCCTACCCAAGCACACATCGAGAATCGCAATGGGTAACAAAGGATTGTGGCCTTTTCTTCAAACGCTGTAGAAGTTTCAGAAAGAACCAATGGCTACTGGCCGTAGTATGTCATACTAGAAATGCTAATGTTCCTACTTGGATACTGAAACCTTCTTTCATGAAACCGTCAAAAAAAGGTTGCATAGCAGAAACCAATTTACTAGTTCAATGAAAAAAATCGAAACATTAGGCTAAACAAAAGTTCTGTCGTTTTGATTTCGAAAAATTCATAGCTGCTCCCTATGTAAATGTAATTGCTCATGAGGAAGTAAAGAGAAAATTTTAGTTATCTCCTAGAACATCTTCGAAGCTCCTGGCGACAAGAAACTATACATAGAAATTCGAATAAGAGAACCACCCTAACCCCTGATTTTTGAAAATCATTTGTTAAAAATCTCAAACGCTGCAAAAGAATTCAAGGCAGTTCTTGAGTTCACGTAAGCTGCTCTCTATAAAAGTGCTACTTTATGCTGGTTGATCTATGAAAAATCATAATTTTCAAGGAAAATGTAAAAAAATGTAAAAAAAAATTTTTGTCGATTTTTGCGTTTTCCTCGAAAAACAACTTTGTACAGAAAAGCTCAATCAGCACAAATTCGGGTCTATTAGAAAGTACAACTTACACTGGCTTCAACAAACATGTCTTCAGATTTTTCTGCCCGTATTTGTGACAATTCATTTTCGAAAATCAAAAGTTGGGATGGTTTTCTTATTCAGATTTTAATCGGCAGAGTCCCTTTCTATCAAGAGTTGCGAAGATGTTTGTAGAAAGTAGATGAATTTTTCTTTCTGAAGAAGTTTTTTGTAAGCAATTATGTTCACATAGGGAGCAGTTACGATCAAAATAAAAGGGACTGAACTTTCGGTTCAAGCTACCCTAATTTCACGCGTACAAGGCGCACCTTTTTCGATTCTTCAAATAAGCCGCTCAACCGCTTCAATGTGTCGCAAAGCGAACCTTAAACCGTTCAATTCTAATACGAAGCCCGGTATAGGGTTCTTTGCTCGCGAAGTGTTGTGGCGTGTTTGGGCTGGCGGATTTTAGAAAAAATCCCCCGCGCCTTGTACGCGTGAAATTAGGGTAATTAACGTTACCATTCTCCGAAAAATTCAAGACCTTTTCAAAGTGAAAATTGACATTTTTGCAAACAAAAAACTCTTTGCTATGGAGTTCATCAATGCTAGCTCATCTTAGAGATTTTCTAATACTACTGCAACTACGTAGAAACATCGTATACGAAACTGTATGTCAATCACTTGTAAATTTAGTGCTCTATTCATGCAAAAAAATGTTCTGTTTCTCTCGCACTCAAATAGATTAGGCTACTTTAAGTGTTCAAAATGCTTTTTCCCCCTTTCATCCGCAAGCTTGAGCCCCTTTGAAACACTTGCAGAATCACGACTGCAATAAAAATGTGTAATTCTGTAAGGCTTTAGGCGCCTTATCCCATGTATGTTATTACAAGTTTCCCACATCTTCGAAGTCTGAACTCGAAAAACCAATCCCCTTCCACTTTTACGAATCTGAATTTTGCATGGTACCAGATCATGTCAATTTTAGAAAGACGGAAGCCTTCAAACAATGATTCAGTCCCGCGGTCGAATCAAACTATTAGCTTGCATGTTAAAAGACTCAAACCTACGCGAGAATTTTTATGAGAAATTCGAGGGCCACTGCTGAGTTCGATAAGCAGCGGAGGCGTTTGTGAATATGTAGTAGAGATATTGCACACAAATAGTTGTGAAGAACTACAAAAACGATGCAAGGGCACAGCAAATATGCCAGTACGTGCTTTAAATAGACGTCAATGAGCACCCTGCTGACGTCAGCGCTGCTGGGTAAGCTAACCCAGCGGCAGAGGCGTTCGTGAATACCGATCATGGGTAAGCTTACCCACTGGGTAAGCGAACCCATGGGTAAGTTTACCCATTGGATAGCGGAACCCACTGGGTAACGTTGATGAATACGGCCACAGGTCAAAGTTAAATAATTGCTGAGGAATGCTTACTTTCCAAAACCTATCACACCATCATTGTGCAATAACTGCGAGCATTGAACATATTGTTACAACCAGAATCATCGTCCAAATTTTGCAAAATTGAAATCATTCCGCTTGCTACGTACAACACCACCCGTAATTTGTGAAAAAAATCGGCGCGGCACTTATTAACTCACGCGGCGCCGCCGCAGTTAGGTGGCAAGCGCCGCGTCGCGCGACAAAGTTAGGCGGAGAAGCGGCACTTACCGCCTAACTTTGTCGCGCAACGCCTAACTTTTTTATACAAAAGACTTTATCTTGATTCAAAATTTATGAATTCTGTATATAAGAGTACCATTCAACTCAGCTCGGCAGGCGCATCTTCCAGTATACAGATGTGCCTAGTTATGGGATATAGGTTTTTTCTTGGAATTTCAGTGTAAATGGATCATTTAGTGTGCTGATTCCAGAGGCTACATACACATTCTGTTGAGCACTGCAGAAATAGGGCAGGTATAGTTTAAGAGCTCATTCTGCATGGATATGTATGAAACTGGGCTTTTCTCGGCGAAGTATGACGGGTCCCAAAATGCAGGAAGACAAAGGGAAATGGTTGGAAATCGCACGAGAAGCACATATCGCGGAATGCCGCGCGTGCTGTGCAATGCACAATACCACCCACGGAACGGGAATTTCGATTCCGGAATATCGCAAAATATGCAGCGCCATAACTTCCTTCGGAATGAATATATTCTAAATTCGTAAGCAGCATTGTGTTTATCTTGTCAAGGCGAATCTTTCGACATACGTCATGTCATCTATATCTTGTTTCCAGTTTTCTTAAATAGTTCTGAGGAGGTCCCTTTGCAAGTATGTAACGCAGCGCCTATCCAACATGAAAGCTTCCAGTAAGCACCATTCGATAGTGCTCTTCTTATGCATTATAGTGCGTTAGAAAGCTGCCGCAGACTTCTTTTCAAAGTGGAAAAAAGCGTTGGTAAATTCTGGAAAAATCAGTCGTTTCCAGATTCTACTCGCCGTATTTCTTGGGAGTGGATGTTTTCTGAATCCGAAAAATGTATTGTGCTCAGCTCATCAAGGCAAATCTTTCGGTATGCAGAATGTCCTTATCTCGATTTCAGTATTCTTAAAATTATCTGCGGACGTCTCTTCGCAAAGGTGTGAAGCAGCGCGTATTGCCCTCAGTAGATTCAGAAAGAAATTTTCGATAGTACTTCCTCTGCAGATTATGGGGCGCTAGAATTTAGCCGCACAATTCTTTCCAAAGGAGTTAGAAGGGCTGGTGAATTCTGGAAAAAATCATGTCGCTCTAAATTTTCTTTAACGTAACTCTAAAATATGAAGCTCTCTCGCTAAGCAGATGTTATTTTCATAATCAGCAGGTCGGATAACCCTTATGAGCAAGTTTTCCAAGATGTTCGAGTAAATTCATTTTTTCTCGTTCTACGCTCTCAAGCTGGCCGATGGATTTTGGTCAAAATGTTCATGCTCTTAAATTGTAAGGAAACTTCGCTTATAAAGGTTTTCGAACACGCTCTTTACGAAAATCAAGGTCTTTGAGGATTACAGGGTCTTTTTGGTGAGATACGGTGAAGTGACTGTAACTAAATCACGAAAGTGCGTAACTTTGCCCACACTCCTCGCGTATCTGTCAAGAAACTTGCTTGTTTGCTCGTCCAAGTCAAAGTTAGTAGGAACTGTGCCATCGAATGGTGCATGCCTACTCCACTCTACAGAAATCGCCGAGTTACGAGCCTACGAAACCACATCCTCATGAATTTTGCCCAAAATGTAAAGATCGCCTATCTCGTCGAAATTCCACCGTGAGTGCTTATGCAACACGTTCATCAAATCTTTTCGTGTCCTTAATGGATCTTATTGTGTTAGGTTAGGTAGTTTGAGTTCTAGCCACCGAAATAGCTTTGCTAATCAATTGAGCAGCTGAAGCACACGCAAGCACCATATTTAATAGAGTGGGCGAAGCGAACACAGTATCCGCAATGCGAGTGTTGTACAAGCACTCACGGTGGAATTTCGACGAAATATGCGATCTTTACATTTTGGGCAAAATTCATGAGGATGTGTTTTCGTAGGCTCGTAACTCGGCGATCTGTAGAGTGGAGTCTGAGGCATGCACCATTCGATGGCACAGTCCCTACTAACTTTGACTTGGACGAGCAAGCAAGCAAGTTTCTTGACAGATACGCGAGAAGTGAGGGCAAAGTTACGCACTTTCGTGATTTAGTTACAGTCACCTCACCGTGTCTCACCAAGAAGACCCTGTAATCCTCAAAGACCTTGATTTTCTTAAAGAGCATGTTCGAAAACCTCTATAAGCGAAGTTTCCTTACAATTTAAGAGCATGAACATTTTGACCAAAATCCATCGGCCAGCTTGAGAGCGTAGAACGAGAAAAAATGAAATTACTCGAATATCTTGGAAAACTTGCTCATAAGGGTTATCCGACCTGCTAATTACGAAAATCACATCTGCTTAGCAAGAGAGTTTCATATTTTAGAGTTACGTTGAAGAAAATTTAGAACGACATGATTTTTCCAGAGCTTTCTAACGCACTATAATGCATAAGAAGAGCACTATCGAATGGTGCTTACTGGAAGCTTTCATGTTGGATAGGCGCTGCGTTACATACTTGCAAAGGGACCTCCTCAGAACAATTTGAGAAAACTGGAAACAAGATATAGATGACATGACGTATGTGGAAAGATTCGCCTTGACGAGATGAACACAATGCTGCTTACGAATTTAGAATATATTCATTCCGAAGGAAGTTATGGCGCTGCATATTTTGCGATATTCCGGAATCGCATTTCTGGAATTTCGCGAAATTCCCGTTCTGTCAGTGGTATTATACATTGCACAGCACGCGCGGCATTCCGCGATATGTGGTTCTCATGCGATTTCCAACCATTTCCCTTTGTCTTCCTGCATTTTGGGACCCGTCATACTTCGCCGAGAAAAGCCCAGTTTTACACATATCCATGCAGAATGAGCTCTTAAACTATACCTGCCCTATTTCTGCAGTGCTCAACAGAATGTGTATGTAGCCTCTGGAATCAGCACACTAAATGATCCATTTACACTGAAATTCCAAGAAAAAAACCTATATCCAATAACTAGGCACATCTGTATATTGGAAGATGCGCCTGCCGAGCTGAGTTGAATGGTACTCTTATATACAGAATTCATAAATTTTGAATCAAGATAAGGTTTTCTTTATAAAAAAGTTAGACGTTGCGCGACAAAGTTAGGCGGCAAGTGCCGCTTTTCCGCCTAACTTTGTCGCGACGCGGCGCTTGCCACCTAACTGCGGCGGCGCCGCGTGAGTTAAGTGCCGCCGCCAATTTTTTCCACAAATTACGGGTGGTATTGTACCTTAGAGTTTTCAGTTCAGTTGATTTCGTTTTAGGCGTTTCTGTGTAATTTGCGCAGTTAATTTGCTTACCAATAACACTGTAAATAATTTTACCTGCTTAGAAATGAGAATTATTGGTCGAAGTAGCTGGTGCTAGTCACTCCATCGTTTTAGCTATGAATTAATTGCTTTCAATGTCAGCATTGATTTTTCATGTTCAAGAGTTTCGCGACAAGATGATAAATGATGTCAACACGTGATAGAAAAAATTAAGTTGGATTATCTGTAGTCCCAAAAATCAGTGGAATTGTTATTTTTGAACCAAAACTTTCATGTATTTAATAGCTTGTGAAAAATACATTTTTAGGAATTCCTCCTATTACAAATACGCGAGATCTGATGACTGCATACGGAGACGAGCCAAGTCAGTTTTGTTACACCTACCTCTTTATACAACCTTCCCACTCCTTAGTTCAAACGTATCTGTTTAGTTACCGGAACAGCGACATCTTCGCCTGTGAACTCCTCTCCTTTACCAAGCGGTATGTATCCTCCTACACATCTTTTGCATCTCGCGTAATTATTAGTTTGGTATTAAGCTACTGCACCACAAACGACGCCTTCGGGTGGGAGTTCCTCGCCTTCGCCAAGAGGTATACTATTTCAATTGCTTTCTAGCCGTTTCATCAACAAAGCTTCATACTTTTGTCATGGCTTACAAAGATTTTTTTGCCAAACTGACATCCTAAGTAATTGGCGAGCTCAACGAAACATGTTTTGCCGAAGTTTTGCGGACTGAAAACGTTCGTCTTTGAGTTTTCAAAGTTCCGATTGTTAATAGAAGAAAGGTAGTGATGCTCACTTATGAAGGTAAAAAAACTTCTAAAAAGTCTTCGAGAAGAATTTATATCTACCACACGCATGAGTGGTACTCACATGGTCATACGAATATTAGTTGCCATTTCAGTCTGTGGCCCAGATGAGGTGTCGCGTGCTTGTGGAAGTTTTTGCCAACCCAGATGCCCATCAAGATTCCGATTGGTACTTCTTACAATTGGTAGTAATAGCTTCATCAATATTGTTTCTTCTTTGTAGCCAGTATGTCCACCAGTCTGTGGCCCACCTGACTGTATATGCAGGCCACCACTGGTACGATTGGGAGAGCGATGCGTCCCACAAAGCATGTGCCCGAGTAAGTAAAACTTATATAGTGATTTTTGAACTGAATAGGCCCAAAAGTAGTTGACATATGTATAAACGAGGAAATTTATTTGGTGAGATTGAGCGCTCTATCAGAGCTTTCGCCATAATTTGAGGTTTGTTGATCACTGCTGTGATCAAATAGTTCCAATCAAGGATGTCTACGACAGAGTCAGTCACGAGAATAATACCATTTTTCAAATGACCGGTGAAAACCATACTATGCCGTGTAGAAACAATTTTTTCACATCTGAACACTAAAAAAAGATCTCGGTTAATGATGACTCTCAAAAATCATCTCCAAGAAAATTGTGTTGAAAAGGCCATTTTGCTTTATGCATCAACCGCAAAAATCATTCGTACGAATGCAGTCTTTCTTGGATGGGCAAATTTGCATTCAGTGTTCTGGGTGAAGTGGGTGAACGATTTTCGATTTTGGTAATAGGGTAGGCAACATATTATATGTTGAGTAACGATTTACGTTGTGATTGAGAAAAAACTTCAAAAACCTATTTTCCTTTTAATCCGAATGAAATTGAATTTTTGCAGTGTCATAGACAGTGTGATACTTGATATAAGCTGCTTAGCAATAGTGAAATAGAGATGGAGGAACAGGAGATATAAAAAATGGGTCCTAGTCAATCTTCAGACTCATACATAAGCGCAAAGCTGATCAAGAATTTTTAGCTCTAAGCATTTCCCAATTTTTACGGGCATTTTATCTTCACAAAAAGTTCTCAAAATCAACAGTGGAAATTGTTTAGCTCAGAGTTAATATGTAGCCAAATTTATTAGTGTAGTTGCTACTCACTTTCTATTCAAAGTCAAATACAATTTTAACAGCTCAGATACACAGTTCTAGTTTGCACAATTTGAAATTTTTTAGGATTTCCTCCGCCTGCCAACGTACCAGATCAAATGACCTCGTACGGAGACGAGCCGAGTGAGTTTTGTGAATTTTTGAATCATGGGTGATTTTAGTGGATGAGAAAAATGTTTTTTATAGATACTGGTGTACAAGCATCGATACTGATAGCAGGATCCTCTTCTTCTCAACCAGGAGGTATCAAACCATCTAAAAACGTTCAAGAGACTTTCATTCTCAATTATCGATGATTTTCAGCATGCCCAACAAATGAAACGTACAGTCAATGTGGTAATCGATGTGAACCGACTTGTGCAGAGATCAGTGGCGAGGTTGTTGATCAAAATTTGATTTTCTGAACATCTTGGTAAAGTATTTGCATTGCAGCCAAGATTATGTCCAGCTATTTGCGATCCACCAGCTTGCGCATGTGCTCCAGGATTCTACCGACTCAACGGCCGGTGTGTTACCGGGCAACAGTGTCCAGGAGGTTAGCTACTTGTGTGGTATTATTCACACCGAAGCGTTTACATATTCACGAATTATTACAGTATCGTTCATGATTAGTCAAAAAAATGGCCGAACTTCATCGGATTTTACCAAAATCACGTTGCATTGCTATTTTGGTTCAGGGTAAAGAATCGTAGAGCGCCGTTCGACCTATTTCTCTCAATTTCCAAAACAAAAAATATGACAAGTGCTTTGGAAATGACAGATGCACGGGAAGCGGTCATATTTCGTATATTTTTGCCTATAGGTTACTCACAATCAGAGGTGCAACGAAATGAGTAACTTACCGTAAGCGAAAATATCAAAATGATTCGTGGAAACTGACCCCCCCCCCCTCCTATCGTGCGCCTACCATACTTTGGACCGAATCGAATGATTATTCGATTATTCGAATAAATCATTCGAATGCGAATGATTCGAAAATTCGAATATTCGAAAATCTAAGATTTCGAATAATATTCGACATTCGAATATTCGAAAATTTTCATTTTCGAATATTATTCAAAAGTCGAATATTCGAAATTTTCAACTTTCGAATATTATTTGATAGTCGAATTTCGATGGTCATTAATTCGAACATTCGATGTCCATGGAATATTCGAATATTCGATGAGCACCGAATATTCGAAAATTCGATAAGAATTGACTATTCGAAAATTCGAAGCATCGAATATTCGGAAATTCGATAACCACAACATATACGGGGTGTCCCAAGGGTATGTACAAACTGTTTAATCGCTAATACCTCTCACGGTCTTTTGCCAACCTTTAAGTAACATCCTGTAGGGATGGCTTCAGCTTACAAATACAGCAGAAAGCAAATCACCTATGTTTTTCTTGTTGTGTTATCACGGTATGAACTTAGCACATAGAGCAACTGCGAAATGAGACATCCAAAAGAGTTTCCCCAACAAAAAAGAGATTTCAAATCTATGTAGCAGGATTTTACTTATGTTCAACGGCGCACGGGCTTTTAAGCCTTTTAAATGTGCATCCTCTTTTTTGAAAAGCGTTGGAAAACATCTGTTATGGTGTACCTGGCATAAGTTGCAAAAGGCTTTACGGTTGAGTGCAAATTCTTTATATAGTGAGTGTCTTTAGAAGCCTAGTGTAAGATCGGCCTTTTTGTTTCTCATTCTTGTGCAAACGGCTCTTGATATCTCAAAACACTCCTCAGTTTTCCTACGGTAATTTACAACAATAAAAAGCGATCGATACATCGCTTCATACTGTAAGTCTAGGTTGATGTCAGCCCACAGAATCACACACTGTTGGGACCCCTGTATGTCAGTCTACAACTCTCAATGAGGATAAATAATCTTCTTTAATTTTTGAAATTCCTTCGCAACCGTCACGTACGCTTTTAGGTTATTAGAAGCAGCGTCCCAAAAGATGGGTCCGGGAAAGTGTGGCGATGTTAAATTGGACCCCCCTATTCAAGCGGTGACGAAGTTCGGAGCGAAAAAGAGGGTCTGGTAAGCTTGAAAATTGCTCCCAAAGTGGCCCGTCTTGCGGCAGGCCTGAATGCCGTCCGTACAGCGAATTCGAACTGCAAGGCCCAGAGAACGCATAGCGCACAGTCATGAGTGCAGGGTCCCGCAACGACTCTGCGTCTCTACCCTGCATGCATCTCGTACTCACGAGCCTACCGTAAGATCCGGGCCAATTAGGGGGCAAATTTTAGGCCTGGTAGCCCCCTTTTTCGCTCCGAACATCAGTCATCACTTAGGTGGGGGGGGGGGACTACTTTAACATCGCCACAATCCGGCACCCATCTTCTTGCCGGGGCTGTAACTGAGCCGTTTTTTTTCGTTGCAAATTGAAACATAAAAAAATGTCTATACCTGAAAAAATTTATTCTGAGATGTTTTGGTCTCTCACAGGTAGTGTCACTGACATAATTTGTTTGCACAGTATTCGAAAATCGAATGATATTCGAAGATCGAATATTATTCGAGAACCGAATAATATTCGAAATCCGAATATCGAATGGTATTCGATATTCGAATATTATTCGATTCGAAAAATTCATTTTCGAATAATATTCGATAGTCGAATATTCGAAGTTTTCAATTTTCGAATAATATTTGATAGTCGAATATTCGAAGCTTTCAATTTTTGATTAATATTCGATAGTCGAATATTCGAGAACTTCGATTTTCGAATATTATTCGATATTCGAATATTCGAAAAAAATTTCGAATTTCCCAAAGTATAGCGCCTACCGTAAGCAAACGGGCACTTCTCTAAATCAAAGCATGCATCTTGCCGAGCTCAGTCGAACAGACTATGAATCGAACTAGAAATTCTTCCCCCTGAATCAAGAATATGGCGATGCAACGCGGGTTTTGGCAGACTTTGGTGGTTCGCTGACCTTTTTGGCTGATTTTTTGAGCCAAGTTTTCCTGACCTTTTCTTCTGAATTCACTGACTTTCAAATTAAAACCCTTTTTTGAAACTTTTCGTGGTTTTTTGCAAGCCCGCTTCTAGTTGTTCTATATGTATATGCTTTCTTTTGCATTTCTTTAAAGTGCCTCCAAAAATGAGGTACCAAAACTTGCGTCTTTCCTTTCGTTCTCCTTGCTTTGAATCCTTGAAAAATAGTAGTCGTAGTCGAATTTGCTCTGTAAAATATGGATTGACAAGCTCAGCGCTATGAAAGCTCATTGAGAACAAACTTTTGAAAATTCTTGAAGTGAAAATGTTCGAGTCCAATACGTTTGGTCGCTGGGAACATTCTGCGCTGTATAGAAGTCTTAGGCAAAGAGCGATTGCGAAACTTTTGCTCATTACAGCTAATGTAAACGGCAAACTTTTCTCACTTTCGGAAGATGAAAAAAATGAATTCTAAAGAAAAATTTTTCACCTCTTAAAAAATGCCAGAAAAGTGAGTACTTTGTACTTTTCGCAGTATTTTCTGATGAAACAATCTGTAAAATTCAAGCTTCAGACACTGAACCGAGCATCGGCTACCCAGTGCACTGTTCTAGCTTTAAGGGTAAACTATGCCTTTTAATCAGAGGTTTCAAGTAGAAAATTTGCGAGCGCACCAAAAAATTTCTCGTAGTGGCTTCAGTCATACACAAATATATGTTGTTTAGCCAAAAGTAAATCCTTCATCCATCATCAGTTATTTCTAGCCTGTCCAGCGAACGAAGTATATAGTCAATGCGGTAACCGTTGCGAGCCCACTTGTGCAGACATCAGCGGCGGGGTGAATGTCTTACAGTTTCAATTTTTAACCTTTTCTAAATTATCTCCTTTACAGCCGAGATTATGTCCAGCGATTTGCGACCCACCAGCTTGCGCATGTGCCCAGGGATATTACAGACTCAATGGGCGTTGTGTCACAAGGCAGCAATGTCCAGCAGGTTAGCAAAATTGGTTGATTATTTATTTACTAAAGTTGTTATATAATAGCGAGATATTGAATTAAATGGACAGTTCTGTCGCGGCACATTTTGAAAGTCGTAACTTCTTTCTGCCGCAGTATTTTGATCTTGTTGACGTTTCATCAAAAAGATTATGTCATGTTTTTTCTAAGATTTCCAGAATGTTATAAGTTGACCTATGATTGCAGCGAGAAAAAATTGAAGAAGAGATTATCCGAGTTCCAGCAACTTTGAGCAGGTTCGTCAAAAAACTGAAAAGTATGCAAAAAATTTAGGGGATATCATTGTGATGTGGAACGCGTTGAGCCGTTGACAATTTATTAGAAAAACACAAGAGTTCCCCCTCTGCCTATCGGCGTACATGCCGAGGGTTCCCTAGGAATAACTAGAGAACAACACACACACAAATATATCAAGGTGCGGCGGGTGCGCCGCAACCACAGAGACCATATCGACCTAGCCTATAGTGAGTGAGCAAGTTCCAATACAAGGGACGGCTCTACAACACCTCCCTCCTAAGATGAACAACGGTACATCTTATAACAAGGATCTACTTGTAGACGTTCTGGTGGACGACGATGGCGACTTGGTCTGGTTGATGTCGGTGGTGTAGAAGAGGTGGCTTGGTGTTCAGCAACATCCATACCATTGTTAAGTCGGTCTTCATCGGAAGTGGACTGTGTCGAGTCATAATGTCGATCCATACTTGCTGCTCGGCGCATCTGGTTCGCATGACGTCTCCATAGCTGACCGTCTTCAGTAAGCACGCCATATAAGGCTTCTCCATAGCGTTTCTTCACTCGAGCTGGAATCCATTTTTCACATCCAGAGCGAAAATCACGTACCCACACGGCTTCTTGTGGCTGGTACGCTCTCTTTCGAGCTCCATGGTGGCGGTTGAACTGCTTCTCCATATTTTCATTGGTCATTCCTTCTTCTTTGGAGTCTTCATTCAGCAGCGACAGCGGTGTCCTGATCTGACGTCCCAGGAGTAGCTCAGCAGGCGAACGTTGTTCTGGAGCAGTTGTACAAGGCGTCCGTCGATAAGACTGCAGAAACTCCGCAAGCTTCTCTGCCGTTCCTCCCTCCTTAATTTTCTGGAAGGTTCTCTTGAAGATATCCACAAACCTCTCCGCTTGTCCATTTGATTGTGGATGGAATGGAGGTGAACGCATATGCTTGATTCCTCGCTCTTCACATAAATCTTGGAACTCCTTTGCTGTAAACTGCGTCCCATTATCCGACACGATCACTCGCGGATTTCCAAATCGTGCGAATAGAGATTTGAGTTCCCTCAGAGTAGCTGTAGTTGACGATGAAGGCATCTCAAAAACTTCTGGCCATTTCGAATAAGCGTCAACTACGACGAGATACATCTTACCATTCAGCGGCCCTGTGTAGTCAATGTGAAGTCGATTCCATGGTTTGTCTTCTACTTTCCATGAATGCAGCAACGTCTTCACTGGCATTTTGGAGGCTTCTTGACAATCCCTACAGCGGCGCACTGAATCTTCAATTTCTCTGTTGATGCCCATCCAATACGCGAATCCTCTCGCGAGCATCTTCATCCTTGTCATTCCAGGGTGTCCCTTATGTAACTGCTTCAGAACGGCTTGTCTCAGCGAGGCTGGAATGACTATTCTGTGGGCGAAATACAAACATCCGTTCTGCACTGATAAATTCTCTCTCAGTGCTCTCCAGTTCCGGACTTCTTCTTTCGGCTTGGACGGCCATGCTCCCGATTGCAGCATTTGTATGACTTGCGCAATGGTTTCGTCCTTGCGGTATTCTTCTTCTATCCTTCTTCGGGTTACTGGTAACGCTCGTACAGCAGCAGCTTGAACGGCTCGCACATCTTCTTCTATTTTCGCTATGACGACGTCTTCGGTCTGGAATGGCCGGGGAGGAATCAGTCGAGACAGTGCATCGGCTTGTCCGAATTCGGTCGTCTTGCGGTACTCCAAGTCGAAGTCGTATGCAAGTAGAATGAGCTTCCATCGTTGCAATCTGTTCGCTGTGTACACAGGCACCATCTTCTTGGGTCCAAAAATGTGTAGCAGCGGCTTGTGATCGGTAAGCAGTCTGAACCGTCGTCCGTATATATACCGATGGAACTTACGAACTGCGAACACCAGCGCTAGTCCTTCTTTCTCAATTTGTCCGTAGTTCCGTTCTGCTGCTGTGAGGCTTCGACTTGCATGGCAAATGGCCTTCTCTGTACCATCCGGCATCTTGTGCAGAATCACAGCACCGATTCCGTAGTCCGACGCGTCGGCAGCTACCACTATCTGCAAGTCAGGATCAAAATGTGTGAGGAGTAGATCGGAGGCTAAGACTTCCTTGGCACGCTTGAATGCGTTCTGGCACTCCTCTGTCCATTCGAACTTTGCGTCCTTTTTGAGCAATGCGTCCAGGGGTGCACGAAGCTGACGCATCTCTGCTAGGAAGAGTCCATAGTAGTTGATCATCCCGAGGAAGGATCGAACATCCGCTATGTTCTTCGGCGCTGGCATCTGTTGAATAACCTCGATCTTCTTTGGATCCGGCCGGCGTCCATTTTTATCGATAATGCAACCTAAGTAACAGATCTCTGGCATCAGAAAGTTGCATTTTTCCAACCTGACGTGGAATCCGTAATCCTTGATTCGCTTGAACAGGGCTTCCAAGTTTTGGCGATGCTCCTCATAACTCCTTCCAGTGATGATGATGTCATCAAGATAAGCGGCTACTCCATCAAGTCCGCTTATCATGGAATCCATGATCTGTTGAAATATACCTGGAGCCGATTTTACTCCAAAGGGAAGACGATTGTAGCGATATAATCCCTTGTGCGTATTGATAGTTAGCATCTCCTTCGATGCTTCTTCAACTTCCACTTGTAGATATGCTTCGGCCAAATCGAGCTGAGTGAAGAGCTGGCCTCCGTTGAGTTTGGTGAACACATCCTCCGCTGTGGGCAACGGGTGCTGATGCAGCTGCAATGCATCGTTGAGTCCTGTCGAGAAGTCGGCGCATAAACGAATCCTGCCATTCTTCTTCTTGACGGCGACTATTGGAGCGGCCCACTCTGAGTGCTCTACAGCAGAAATGACTCCTTCGGCTACCAGCCGATCAATTTCTGCCTCCAGTTCCGGTGCTGTGGCGTATGGAACTGGTCTCTTCTTCTTGAAGACTGGGACAGCATCCTTCTTCAAGACTAACCTGGCCTTGCTCTTCTTACATTTCCCTAGTTCGCTCTTGAAGACATCTGGATACTTGTTCTTCAAGTCGGCGACAACTTCGGCTCGAATTGCTTCTTCGCTAGTCACCTTCCTGCAGTTGTACTTGGTCTTTAGTTTCTTGTAGGCTGGCAATTGGATGCACCACTCCAATCCCAGGAGATTCGAGCCTTCGGTGACATAGCAGGTTCCTCTTCCATGGACCATCCGTCCTGTAACTCGATCTTTGACCTTGAAATCAGTTGAAAATTTACCATCGATTTGCATTGGTGTCCCATCTGCAGTTTTGACAGGCATCACGCACGGTTCTAAAGCTGGAGATCCTATCCTCTTCCAGGCTTTACGAGATACTAGCGTTATATCCGCACCCGTGTCCAACTGGAGTTTGAGAGGACATCCTTTGACCACAACATCAAGGTAGGTGCGGGCGTTCTCGGCGTCGAAGGCGATGACGTTTTTGCATTGTCTTCTGCGACCATAGGGCTGAGTCGCTGTCTTCCGTCGCTTCCTTCGGCCCGTTCTAGGAAGTTGTGGACAATCCCTGCTGAAATGCGGACCTCCACATCTGAAACAATCCACCTTTTTCTTCCACACCGCATGGACATCGCGGGTTCCTTCCATATCCGTGTTGTCCATCTTCGACGCAGTGTAATTCTCGCATTCGCTGACCAAGTCCTCGATGGTCAGCGGTGTTTCTTCCGTATGTGCATCCAGTCTGCGAATCATCCTGAGGCGGACGTCTCGCAATGACGGGTCCTGAAGACCGGCTACAAATTGTAGCGTCTTCATTCCAGTATAGTCGAGCTCCTTGAGTCGAGCGTCCTCATCCATCCGCTTGATTGTGTTGGCGTATTCTCGGAAGGGTACACACGTCGGCGTAAGCGGTGGGCAGGTGACGCGGAGGCACTCGAACCTTCTTCTTATCAGCGTCTTCTTGGATGGGAACAGCTTCTGAAGTTTTTCGATAGTTGTGTTAAAATCCAAGTCGTGTGGCTTTGCAGGCAGGACCTCATCTGCATACTTCCGGTATGCTTCTTCGTCCAGCTTCATGAGGACCAGGTCACGCTTCTTGTTGTCTGGCAACAAGGACTCGCTTATGACCGGTCCGTACCTGCTGTACCAGTAGGCAAAGGTATTACCTGTGTCTTCATCGGAGACGAACCTTTGCACATCCTTGCTCAGCTGATCATATTGATCCTTGCTGGCATCTTGTACGGCTACACTCTGGTTGTTGGCCAGAGTAGCGATCAGCATCCTCATTTGTTCCTGTTGAGCTTGCATCTGGATCCGAACTTCTTCTTGTTGAAGCCGCATCTGCTCCATCATGACGTTGAGGACCTTCTCCAGATCCGCCGCATGCCGCTCTTCTGCAACCTTCGGCATGGCTCCGTTATCTGGAGAAGTTGTCCTTGAAGTTGACTGGAGGCTTCTTCTTTTCCTTGGTCGGCGGTGGAGCTTCTTCTCGTCCTCGGTTGGTGGTGGAGTTCTTCTTGTCCTTGATCCTGATCGCCAGTTGATGTGGAACGCGTTGAGCCGTTGACAATTTATTAGAAAAACACAAGAGTTCCCCCTCTGCCTATCGGCGTACATGCCGAGGGTTCCCTAGGAATAACTAGAGAACAACACACACAAATATATCAAGGTGCGGCGGGTGCGCCGCAACCACAGAGACCATATCGACCTAGCCTATAGTGAGTGAGCAAGTTCCAATACAAGGGACGGCTCTACAACACATTGTAAGTTTTGTGACATTCTCTCTGACTAAGCAAAGTTTGTGCTGATCGATTTTTCTACGAAAAGCTACGATTTGAAAAAAAAACAGTAGGAAACATTAAATTCAAATTTTTATTGGTTTATATTGGTTTCGAATTTTTGACGTGCCTGATTAGAAACACGGACACTCTAATTGATTCTTCTATTTTTATCTCTGTAGTCAGAAAAGAATAGAAAGCGTCTAATGCATCAGCACAAAGCACAAAATCTGCTCTTTCTAATAAAAGTAATTGATTGTAAAACATCAAAAATGAAACGAATTTACGATTTTTTGGAAATGGTTCGGCGAACTTTCGGTATAACTTGATATATAGAAAATTACCAAGCAGTGGATATGATAAAAATACAAGTTGGAAAACGAAAAATTCTGAATTTCGTTATTTTTACTAGGCATGAATTTATGCTCAAATTTTAGGGATTGGCAGACCAGTTCTAAGATCTCGACGGCAAACAGGTTGGTCGTTTTCAGTTTTCGATTTTGATTTACTATTGATTTACTCATTGTAGATCCGATGACCGGTTACGGAGATGAACCAGCTCTCCCAGAGCCCCTCGGCCCACGTATGTAAAATTATATTCATAGACTGATTACTACTCATATATAAGCTTTTCAGCTTTGGATCCTTGTTCCACAATCCTATGCCGAATTGGAGAAACGTGCATGTCAGATGAGAATGGCGCACGATGTGTACCACCAGGTTTGTTTCGATATGAACAACAACAAACTTTTTATTGGTACCAGTTTTGACCAGCTGATCAGAAAGAGTTCTTGATTACCAATACCGCTCCAGAATTTTGTGCAGAAATGCTTGCAAGAGGTTTTTTAACGCTACGAAATACTTGACTTGGCAAAAGGTTGCAATGCAATTCAAGACACTTACACTACTCCGATGATTCGTTAAATCAAGCACCATCCGTTTTTTTCAAAGGCCGGTATTTGGTATTTGAGCTCAAAACTTTCTCAGGAAAGAAAGTGTAATTCACAGCAGAAGTAAAAATAACTCAGTTGCAAACCCAATATATTAGGTTGTCCCGAAAGTTTTGTCCGTTTTTTTCATCGCTCACTAAAACTCACAGAACACCAATCCATGGATGTCTTAGGTATCTTTCGATTCAGATTTTTATTCTCTTTCTTATAGCTATATTTACTATATGATCTACCCTTATTTGCGAGTTTATCGACATGGCTTTTCGAGCAGCTCAGCAGTAACGCCAAACCTTTCCTAAATTTCAAAAAAATTTTTCCTAATGTTTACAAGGAGCGCTGGTAACTGTTATGTAGAGCAAACCTTTGGCTACATTTTTCCTATTTTAGATTACATGTGGCGCTTTTTCAAGTTCGTAATAATTATTTATTTAAGAAAAACCTCGGCTTTTTGATTACATTTACTACCTAAAATTATCGAAAATTCCAAAAAGCTGATTTCTCAAAGCAAATCAAGCTTGGTTATGTTGCGTAAATAATGTTGGATAAAAATCATGTTTCAATTTACAGGAATTTCAAAAGCTTCCGTGTATTTGCTGCAGTTGCGTGTTTCATGACTTGGGCAAAAATCGGACCCCTAAAACCAGCAGTGCAGGAGAATATAAAAATATCATCTTGTAGTCCGAGAATTGCGCTATTTGATGCATACTTAACCTTTCCCGAAACTTTGAAATGAATTTTTTGAAAATTAGCCGAACTTTGAGCAGATAAAATCAATGGGTGAAGAATTTTGGCAATTATCAAAAAAAGCATATAAGATTAGTTCGAGTATGTATACTTAAGAATGAGAAAGAAAAGCTGCATCGAATCATGTTGAAACTCATTCAAGTCTTTATTGTTGGTTTTATAGTGGTTTGGAAAAACGGACAAAATTTCGGGACAACCTGATATATAGGAAAAGGAAAATTCTCTTTCTTCTTTATTCAAAACTGAATATGGAAACTTCTAGTATATGCCTATCTAAATTGTTATCATTTTCTCCAGTGTGTTTCAAATGTAGATTTTTATCAAGTACGTTGAAGTATAAGTTAAAAGTATTAGGTTGAACCGAAAGTTCTGTCGCCCCATTTTCAAAAAATCATAACTTCTTTCCGTCACGACGATTTTGCGCATTTTAAGTTTGCTTAGAAATCGTAAAGCATGTAGTTTCCAATAGTTCTCTGGCGACTTTCCAGCATGTTCAGATTGCAGAGATAAAAATGAAAGAACGAAAACATCCGAAATTCGGAATTTTTGAGAAACAATTCCAAAAATCTAGAAACTGCGCGATAAAATCCAGAAAAGCCACTATCCTAATTTTTCTTATATTTGATTACTAAATGAGTTAAGTTTGTGCTGATCGAGCTCTTCTTTCAAAAGTTATGATTTTTTGAAAAAAATTCCGAAAAATCACTTTCCTAAGAATTCCTAAGAAATTGATTTTTCAGCATTTTTTTTCAAAAAATCATAACTTTTGAAAGAAGAGCTCGATCAGCACAAACTTAACTCATTTAGTAATCAAATATAAGAAAAATTAGGATAGTGGCTATTCTGGATTTTATCGCGCAGTTTCTAGATTTTTGGAATTGTTTCTCAAAAATTTCGAATTTCGGATGTTTTCGTTCTTTCATTTTTATCTCTGCAATCTGAACATGCTGGAAAGTCGCCAGAGAACTGTTGGAAACTACATGCTTTACGCTTTCTAAGCAAACTTAAAATGCGCAAAATCGTCGTGACGGAAAGAAGTTATGATTTTTTGAAAATGGTGCGAACGAACTTTCGGTTCAACCTAATATATGCATAAATCTCGCAGCCGCTTCCAGGTAGAAAAGTAGTTCTTGAGTCGCTTATTTTTCTAATTGATCAAGAAATCAATGATTTTGCAAATTTGAGATGGGTCACATAAACACGGAATGCTTGCGACAAAATTAATTAGTGTTAGTGGTATATTATCTGCGTTTCAATCCAAATAAATATGATAAAATTCTTCATTGAAGGCTCACAAAAACACATGATTTTTATGAAATTACACAGCCCTGAGTTGACTTTTTTATCATTTTTCAAAAACCTTTTCTGAGGCATTTGTGCACGAACCACACACACAAAGAATTTTGTTTATCGAAATGATTATGTAGCGAGTATAAGCTCACAAGCATTACATTACAGCACTGCAATGCAGCGTCAATGAAACCGTCAGCAACTGTGGTGCTCTTTGTGAAGGCAAATGTGCCACTGTAGATGAGGTTTGGCTCTTCTCAACTTCAAAAAATCAGCATCACCTGATATTTAGCAGAATAGACCTTGTCCCGATATATGCCTGCCGCCTGCATGTGCTTGCTCCTTGGGATATTTCAGGAACCAAGATGGGGATTGTGTTTCGGCCGGAGATTGTCCGTCAAGTAAGTTTTTCCTTTGGAAGTTATGACAATCAATGGTTTCGAAACATCCTACCGAAAATTTGAAAAAAAAAACAGTTTTGTGCGTATTTGAGGTAAGAGAATCTATCGAATGATCAAAAATAGAGAAAGGCATCCGGAGATGTTCAAAAAATTCGTCGCGCACCGTTTTGACTTCATAGAATAAGGGATGCTATAGTAATATTTTTAGGATGTCCTGAAAATGAGCAGATTAACACTTGTGGAAGAAGCTGCGAACCTACTTGTGAGAATGCCTTTGGCAAGGTGGGAAACCCGTCAAGTTCATTTTTTCAGACAAAATCATGATAATTTGTCTGCTATTGCAAATTAATGTTCTCCGAAAAATTGATGGGGAAATGAGGTAAAAAGCAAATTCAGATCAAAGTCTGCAATCTCATCTGCAACCCACCGGCTTGTGTTTGCAAACCGAATTTCTACAGACATAATGGAGCATGCATACCGCAAATGCAGTGCAGTGAGCGAATAACTTTTTTGAAATTCGTTTTTGTTTTGTTATCTATCCTCCAAATCATTTCAGCTCCACCGAGGGATGGAGTGGGATCTATCGCCTTGGACGTTACCGCTTGTAAGTTTCTATAATGCAAGCTCTTTTTCTTATATAGGAATTTTCCGCACATGTCTTGGAATATGGAAAATCAAACTGCTAATGTCTAGCTTCGTATGCTAAAATTCTCGTTCAAAGAAAACTGGATTATTCTCAACATTTTTCTTCTTTCATTGGCATGCTCGTTTTTCAAGAATGTCTACGTTTCTTCTAATTCAATAGAATTTTATTATAATCACATTTTTTCTATAGTCGTTACCATCGTTCTTGTTGTTCTTGTAGTCTGACTTAAGATAAAATATGAAAAGTGTAGCTAGAACGATCGGCAGGCTTGGCACAAGTTCACACCAGGAAAATTTCAAACGGAATCCCCTTTGAACTTGAAAGTCTTGTACAAAGTCCTTTGACCTTAAACACTGAACAAAAACTCTCAAAAAATGAAATCGAACAAAAAAGCGTCGCATTTTCTGTGTGTTTTCGGCCACAAAAACGATTTTCCCTTTACTTTTTGTCTCAAAAACGATATCCGCTTGACCCGGTGCCAGCTGTGCCGAGCCCTGACGATGAGCATCGTAGTTTTTGAGAATCCTTTTCGCTTTGCTTAATTACGATAGCAGTCAAGTCATTGAGATCGAAAATTTAGGACGTAGATGTTAGGATATTGCTTAAATCGCTTTGTCCATTTTTAACCTAAAGTAATAGTTTATTTTTAGCCACGTCTACTACTTCAGCAAGCAGTGCAAGCAATTACGTTGATGAACCAGTTACACGTAAGTAGATTCAATTCTAAATACTATAGCCAGTATATAAATTATGATGGAAGGTGTAAGCAAATTCTCTATGGGAAACTAGCCATATTACGTAGGACTAAGACCGAAGGCATTTTCACGAACACTTTTCGCCACACTTGCACAATTTTCCGAATAATATTGCTTTGTATTCGGAATTCTTTAAAAAAGTGATTGAGACCAAAATATTAGGTTGGCACGAAAGTTCTGTCCCCCCATTTTCAAAAATTCATAATTTTCGATTTTTTCAACCAATTTGGCTGCATTTATTTTTGTATGAAAACGTAACTCATGCTCTTTACAGTCATTTGTTGCATAGATAGGAGCGATAGAAGAAAATTAGTCAAAATTTGAATTTTCTGTGTAGGGTCATAAAAACCGGAAACTTGCAAGAAAAATCGGAGCAGTCAGTATTGTAGGTTCTTTTACCAGCTCTTCAATGGTGCAAAGTTCGCACCGATTGCGCGTCTCTATCAAAAGTTATGATTTTCGAGCAAGCAATACAAAAGGGCGAATTTGATTTATTTTGGCATTTTTCAGGGAAATCATAACTTTTGATAGAGACGCTCAATCGACGCAAACTTTGCACCATTAGAAATAGCTGGTAGAAGAACCTACAATACTGACTGCTCCGATTTTTCTTGAGAGTATCCGATTTTTTATGACCCTACACAGAAAATTCAAATTTTGACTAATTTTCTTCTATCGCTCCTATCTATGCAACATATGATCATTAGCAAGCAGCTAAGGTGTCTTTGTAAAAAGCATGAGTTACCCTTCCACACAAAAATAAATGCAGCCAAATTTGTTGAAAAAATCGGAAATTATGAATTTTTGAAAATGGGGGGGGGACAGAACTTTCGTGTCAACCTAATACTTTTTCTCTTACAAATCTAATAAATTCATTTGCAGCAAGATCTGGAAACGGAAGAAGTTACGTGGATGAGCCCGTAACTCGTAAGTAATTGTCCTTCTTATGCTAGAAATTCTTCAAGAATGTTTACTCGCACATTTTAGCAAGACAAGGAAGTGGCGAGAGTGGAGGCAGTAATGTCGCGTCAGGACTAGGTTAGTTTTGCATAAATCGATTAGATTTTATTCTTCATAGTTGTGCACTAAATAAAATCAATAAATATCATCTCTATGCTCTTGCAATGTGAGTACTACACACGATCAGAGAGACATTCGTCAATTATATTAACTTTTCCAGAATGTGGAGCTAATGAAGAAGTTGGACAATGCGGTAATCTGTGCGAGCCAGGATGTGAGAACGCTTTCGGAGAGGTAAGTTTTTCTATAGCTAGATTGCTTTAAATACGCTATGTGAAAGGAAACTGTGGAAAATTGCAAAAAACCTCAAAACAATGGAAAAGAAATTTTCGAAAAAAATGTTTCATGCATAATAACGCTGAAGATGACATCTTCCATATTGCTTTTAGAGCCGAAGAAATAGAGCTAGTAGCATTTTATAGTGAGATTATATAAAGCTCTATGAATGGCTCTATCAAAAAATTATTGAGGGATTTAGAAATGTGGCAGTGGTCTCCATCAAGCAGTAGTTTATGTAAAGAAAATAAATGCTAAAATCATAGTGTAAAAGTTCCTCTTCAAAATTCATTCCAGCCAAAAGTGTGCATAGAAATTTGCAATCCTCCGGCATGCATATGCAGATCAAACTTCTATAGAAAAGATGGCAGATGCGTTTCTAAATCTGAATGTCGTAAGTTGATTCGTTCCCAAATTCTTGGATTTGACTTCCCCATCGACAAGATTATGTTTAGCTGCACCTGCCAGTGGAGCGAATGGTAACAACAGATATGGTGATGAGGCTGTTACGCGTGAGTTAGCAGGGAGTATGAATATACTTCCGGGTCAAATATTATTTTTATAGCTGCGTCAGGATCAGCGGCAATTTTAAGTACAAATCAGGGTGGCCCGATGAGCAATCCGCGATTATGTAAGTCTCTTTTCTATACAAAAATGTTGTTCGTAGATTTTTACCCTGTGCACCAAATTTTCAAAACGGTTTCTGAAAAAGCAAGAATGTCTAAGGTAGTATACGTCGAAATAAATATCGCGCGTATCAATCTAAGCATTTGGGCACCGAAACTAGAACTTCCCAAACAAGGCTCGAAAATATAACAGGTAGTAATAAATTCGCTTGCCGCAAGTTTCAGGCAGACTATTACATGTAAGAGGATTTGCACCCAACTTTAGACAATACTGCATAAGTTTAAAACTAAGGAAAAGGAATACCAGTTAGAGTTGGGAGTTTTTAAGGACCTAATTGCTTTAACCTAATCAAACGCTTCCATTCCAGCATGTAGTGTCAACGAAACAATCAGTCAGTGTGGAAATCTTTGCGAAGGAAAGTGTGAGAATCTTGGAAAGGTTAGTTGTATGCAGTGATCACATGGAAGAACTTTATTGGAGTAATCTTGTATACATTTCAGGGCCCAATAGCCTGTCCTGCTATTTGTGAACCTCCAGCTTGTGCGTGCAAGGATGGCTACTATCGTATTCGCGGGGACAGATGTGTACTTGGAATGGATTGTGAACTTAGTGAGTTTTGCAAAGTTCGAAAATCCTGCTAATTGTTAACAATCCAAATCTCCCTTTTATCCATAACAGACTCTCCATTTTTCTCCTTTTCAGAAAGAATTGTAACTGTGAAAAATCAAATATAAGTTCCCCTTAATATCAAGACAAATACTTTAGCGTTTACACTTTACAGATTGCAAGACCAATGAAGTAGTGAATTCATGTGGTAGTGCATGTGAGCCGACCTGCGAGAATGCATTCGGAAGGGTACGTTTTATTATGTATTCTTTTTTTCGATGGAGATAAAAATAATCCAGACGATTTGTGTAAAATGGCGAGCTCCACAGACTCGTCTCGGTAAGCGAAGGGGAGATGAGGGGGAAGAAAGTGAGAACTAGAACTATGGATTCCAAAGAACTGTAACTATTACTATAATGCATCAAGTAGGGTCGTAGGTAGCGTATATCGTCTGATGTCCTTTTCCGCTTCCCTCGCAAAACAAAGTAGGGAATATGGCAGAGATTAAAGTTGCATTTTGAGGGTAATAATGGGGGGAGGGGGGAGGCTCAGACAATCGCAAATGATTTGTGGAGAAAACTGAAGTTCCAAAACTTCCGGAGGGACACTCTGATTGGAGCTGCCAGGTAGGGCGGAGCAAGGTAGGGCAGGTCCCACCCAAACAGACCTAGGAGCGCCCGCCTGAAAAGTTTTACAAGTTCAGTTTTCCCCGTAAGTCATTTGCGATTGTCTGAGAGGGGAAGAAAAGATTGAGCTGTACTACCACTTTGAGTTTACAAAATTGACATTATTCTTTGTTATTGTTGCTCTTATGTATTTCTATTCTAGCCGAAGGTCTGCGACCGAGTCTGTCGTCCCGCAGCATGCGTATGCCGGCCGAATTACTACCGTAATAATGGCGTCTGTGTTCCTCAGTCCGGATGTGGTGAGTATAAGCGAATAATTTATCGAAGTAACCTGTCAATTTAGTGTTTTATAAGAGAAGATTGAAGAATAGGGTGGTAAAACAAAAATAAGTAGTACAGAGGGGTAACAGCTTTTTTCCTCGAAAATTTCATAACTACTCTTCTCATATTAGCTGTTTAATTGCATTATATTTGTAAAAAGAATCAACGGGATTTTTCACAGAATTTCTACAATGGTTCACATGTGTTATAAGGTTTTACAAGTAACTTTTCAACATATAAAAAACTACACCAAAAGAATGAGTTTTTTGAAATATTATTTAAAATAATTAAAATAATTAATTAAAATAAATTATTTCATAGGAGGACTTTTGGAAGGCTAAAAATTTAAAAGCATTTTACAGTATGTCAGAAGTGCAGGTCTAGCGCTCAATCTTTTTCAGTTACTTCTTAGTCATCTGAAAAAAATATTTGGAGGTATCGATGGTGGTACCATACACCATTATGACTTAATAAGCACATACACAGTCTGTAGCATTTCCTTTTTTTGCCATTTAAGCCAAACTTTTTTAGGCGTACCTGGCGCAACAGCTAGCACAAATCCCATCCAGATCACTTCCGGAAGTACCGGAGGTACTAGAGGCAGTGGCGGAAGTGCCGGAAGTGCCTCAGTGTCTACTGCTAGTCAAAGCGGAAGCGGAAGGCCGCTAGGTACAAAATTTTTTTTCGTGGTTTTGAACATCTGCTAGCTGCTTACAGTTTGCGGGCGAAACGAAGTTGTTGGATCATGTGGAAATCTTTGCGAGCCGACTTGTGAGAACGCTTTTGGAAGGGTCAGATTTGTCTATACTGTGATTTTTCAAGAACCGTCATTTTGAGAAAACGAGAAGTGTTGGCTTCTGCGTTTTCTGCGAAAACCTAAAATTTTCAAAACGCTGTACTTTTCAGCCGAAAATCTGCAGCCGAGTTTGCAATCCACCTGCGTGCGTGTGCAGACCAAACTATTATCGCAATAACGGAACATGTATCCCACAAGCTAGCTGTGGTATGTCTAATGGAACTAAAAAAATACACAAATAATTCTGAAGAACGTTTATAGTTGATCAAGTGGGCCTTTGTGAAGCAATGACTTGTGAAGAAGGAACGGTTTGCGCTGAAGCCGAGAGCGAACAGAGTGCACGATGCCAGGCCGAAGACCCAGGTATGTGTGTATTTTAGTGAATATTTTAAGGGTTCAATGTTTCGACGTATCGTTAAGGTTTCAATTTCCAATCGAATATGTTTTAATCAATGACAATTAGTGTGGAAAAGTGGCTTTGCTGAGATAAATTTACGCTTTTGTCGCGTCGCTTCTGTAGGGGGAAAAGTGCTATGCCTGTTTCCTTGCGCTCCAATCTCTGAGCAGTGACCTTTTACAAGTATCGTTTGAAAACAGTAACTTCACAATTTCTCAGAGAAGTTAACCACTAGGCGTCTGAAGGCAAAACATACTACAGGTGCTAAACCTTGATTTTTTTGTAAAATATAGTTCCCTAATATCTACGATTCTTCGAAGCTAACTAACACTATTCCATTTTTGTATAGAAAGTAGGTAGGGAGACACTTCAAGTTTCCTTACAGTTGAAGGAGATTTGGTGACCGTAGCCCTTCGTAATGAAGCACATATGATTCGATGAGTTTTGAAACCTGATCACAAATCTTTCGCTATCTGCTAAGGGGTCGGAGTGCGCTAGATCATCAGCATTTCTACGATCTTCTAAGGTTTCGAAATGCCGCGCATAAGTAGCGAAAGCTGAAAAAACTTTTGAGATGCGGGGGCTAGCTAGGCATCGAAGCTCAGCGCCATGCCCTTCCTCCCTCCCCCTCAACCAAGAGCAAATACCGCCATTCAGTTCATCCATCGGCATAGTTACTCATCCTCAACTGTAAAATACAATAAACACATTGCGGTGATTCCAATTACGGCGCAGTAGTTCGTCTTCGCTGACGAGGATCCATTGTTTTTCTTGTCAGTCGGCGTATTTTTTGTATTGCGTGATCGTGCCCTTAAAAAATCTGATGAACCAGCCACACCAGGTTTCTTCCATCAGGTTATCCTGTTCCATTCCCTGGCTGACGGTGTTGGTTACAGCTAAGTGTTAGTCAAACATTCGCCTGCAAGGCGACGAGCCCACTTCCCAGAAAAACGTTTCAAAACGTTTTCTTTCGTAGCAAAAATCTAAACTTCTTCGGCTAATATATGGCCAAACTATGTAAGGTTGAATCCGTGAGCGCTTTGATTGAGCTTAACCATTGGAAGCTTATGGTCCACAGGTTAACATCTGATGATTGTGCTTACGAAAACGCTAAGATTTTAAAATGCAGGATGTAAACTTACTGACAGTTACATCTATGTTATATGATACGCATCAAATGCAGCCATTACAGAAAATAACTGCGAGACGACAGATTGTCCGCCTGATGCTGTATGCGAGTACCGCGAGACAGAGTGCATTCCAGATAAAGCCTGCTTTGCGGAGCCAGTATGTGTCGTGTACGAAAGGATAGGTAGGTATTTATTTTCTAAGAGAATCTTTTCGAAAATCTTTCTAAAGTTTGAACTTTAGTCGCAGCTTAACTCCGTCTGAGAAGACAACGGCGACTGAGTGGCTCGCAAGGCTAAATTTTATCGAGCTTTCATATACTGTGGATAATAACAATGATATGAATTAGTTTTTGTTATAATATCAGTATGAGTTGCCGCATAATATGTGTGGATTCTATAATAACATCAATAAAGTTTGTTTTGTTTGAACTTAAACAAATATCGAAGTGACTGTCCTTACCTGCTTCAGTACGAAAAACCATTCTTTCTATTTTCAACCAGGTTTTTCACTTGATGGTTTTGAGAAACCGTTGTGCTTCTATTCAGATGATCTATTCCCTTCTTTGTGTTCGCTAAGTGCGTCGTCATAAGTCTTTCGTGCTTCACCGAGAGAGATCATTTAAAGCATGTAGAGGCCAATATACCGCTAATAAGCTCTGCATAGCAATGCCATTATCGTAATTTACAAGATTACCTAGTCTGGAGCAGAGATTATCGGGTAGGAAATTTTGGCGATATAAATGTAGAATGTAAAATGGCACAACAGCAGATTTGGCGAACTAAACTTTGGATATATCACCAAAGTGTAATAGAAAGTTGAGTATGCCTGCGCCTCGTCCATATTAGCCCAATTATAGTTTGCTGTAATTTATTTGCACAGCTGGTATAAGAACTTTAGTTGCATGCTTGATTAGCAGTTAGCAAAAAACAATAGAACAACAATAAATGCAAAATTCTTACCCATTATATGGGAGAATAGCTAGAGCAGATTGCAACCATTAGATCATGGTAGTTCGTTTTTTGTCCAAAGCCACTCTCCAAATATGTCTAGGATATCTTTTTGTCCATTCTGGAGCGAGAATAAGAAAACTTGTCGATTTATTGGTTTGAGAAGCAGCGCGTAGCCACCGGTTTTTTTTATTTCTGCAAATTGGCTGCACTATAACTTGTCTTTCAGTTGATCTCAAAATCACAAGCATGATTCTGAGATCAACTTAGAGACGCCTTGCTTTTCTATCCATAGAAATTTTTGAACATCTGTTCTCTCATCACAAGTGAAGAGTGTCTCAGAGTTGGTAAACGTCAGGGTCAGGCATGAGTCCGTTTCTAGCTTTCTCAAAAAGAAGGTTTCCCTTTGACTTTCGCATAGTTTCACGAAGTCCCCTTTGACCCTCATCGGAAACGCCGATTAAAAGAAACCTAACCCAACTTGTGTTTTTTCGGACCAACAAAAACGATATCCTCTTTGCTTTTTCGCCTTGAAAAAGCAAAGGAATATCGTAAGGGGCTTCGCTAAAGAAAATTTGAGCAGTTTATATCCTCACTCTCACAATAATCAATAGTATGAAAATCCAACAGCTGGGAATTCTGATTGGAGCACGAAGATTGTGGATGCATGAGCACTAGTGATTTTCTTTGTTCTGTGCAAATTCATAGATAAAGTGCTCAACTTTAGGATTCTTTGGAAACACATATTGTTTACAATCCGACAACGATATAACACAGTTTCGTTCCGGGTAAGACATTTGTCTGCATTTGTTCTGACATTTTCAGATGTGTGCACAAACGCAAGAACTGTCTCTAGGTTATTGGTTGATCATCTTCAGACATTGCCTCTGCTTGTGCATTATGAATATTTTATCTTGAGAGCGATACAAATTGCACATGTCATTTTCAATACATATGGTAAAAGAGTAACTTTCAACTTTTTTGCTAGCTCTCCTTGCTCGCACCATGAAAAGGTTTTTACACAAACGCGCTTTTTATATCTGAAGTATGGTAGTGTCCAAACCTACAACATGGGCTAAAAGTTGTTGCATTAATATAAACATGAAATTTTAGTTTATCATTTCCTAGTTACCTCCAACAATTTATTGTGGTATAAGGCATACTGACCTATGGAAGAAAGAGACCTATGAACATCCTCTTACAGCCATTGAAGGTGCATACGCTGTAAGCAGGCAAAGTTTTGTGAGCTCAAACAAGATCTTATTGAAAGCCTTCCGTCTTGTTTTGGAAACGAATGGAGAAAACCAAACCTTAACAAATCCAAGCAGAGAGATCCCTCAGTTGATATGAAAATTATCAATTGGTTTGAAAATGCACCAGCTTCAAGCATGTTGGGAAACAGCAGAGTTTTTGAACACCGAGACGCTCCCAAAAACGCTCACAAAAAGTTTCCAATCAGGAATTTGTTCTATGAATCGACTTTGAACAGATACTTTGATCTGCCTTAAAAAAACTTTTTTCACTCAGAAAATCACCTAGAGTTGCTCCAAAAGAACATCGTGGTAAAGCCAAATAAAACAGTGCAGTTCTATTTAATTTTTGATCTCACTTTGGCTCTTTCCTTAGCCCCTAGTCTGTTTTCAAGACCTTTACGAATTTTTAAGTAGGCTCACATCATACGACCTATCACAGTAATTTAAGGCGTAATTTGCGTCCAGAATTTTCAATGATTTTGTCGTGCCCTGCTGCAAAATGTAGCAGACTCACACTTGCAGTAGAGCATCGAACCTAACACTCAGTTGACAAGAAGAAGAATATGTAAGAGGCCTGCCGATCAAACATCTAATGAGCGCTTTTATTACTGCGAGCATGTTTTTCATACTCAAGATAACACGTAAGCGTTCTTCTTTAATTCTTTACTCCCTTCCCCCCCCCCCCCCCATTCCGGCCATGTTTTCGAATCGAATTTAAAATCATTCCAAAAAACATTTTTCAGCATTGCAGGCCATCGTTTTTTCATGTAGTGTCCCAAAAAGATAGAACACTGTTTGATCGCTTGTTTTCATGTCTTTCGCCGAGCTTGAGATACCATACTACAAAGCGATTCTGATTTAGAATTACAAAGTGAAGCGAATCCTCAATCACTCTTCATTACTGTAGGATTACCGTATACACTTTCAGCATACAGGGCAACTATGGAATAGTTCTTTTGAGGAGAAAAATCCCAAAAAATCTGGAAATTTGTGTAGCAAGGTTTCAGGCGTGTTTGACCACACATCCTTTCAAAAGTTTTTCGAGCTTTTTAATGGTGTAATCATTCTGACGAAAATTGGGAAAACAGTTGATACCCTAAATTTGAAATAACTTATGAAAAGCAACTTTTATATTCGGAATCAGTGACTTCGACTAGCTTAAGAGTTTCTGGCATGTTTGGGCTTCCTTCTAAGGCAAAAATCGCTTTCAATTTCTCCGTAATCCTGCAGTAATTAAAAGTGATTGATGATCCTTTCTATGATGTAAATCTCCCCCTTTATACTGTAAATCTAAGTTGAACCCCGCGCTACAGAATGGTATCTCAAACTCGGCGAAAGACGTGAAAGCAGGAAAGTTATTAACGATCAAACAGTGTTCAAACTTTTTTGGGACAACCTGTATATTTGTGCGCGGGTCATCTTCATAATAAGTTTAAAGGAATGATTACAGAATAAAGTTAACAATTTATTCATTAACACACAGCGCTTCAAAGAGTGGTTTGCATCATCGTCCTCTTCTCAAACATTCACGTATTTTTTGCACACAGGATCCACTTCGTCGCGTTGGAGAGTAAAGCAGGTTTCAGTCGAATCACACTCGAATGTATCAGTTCCATATTGTAACGTATATATATCGCACATGTTCTACAAATGAGTTAAAAGCAGTGCTGTTGAGCATTGCATGTTTCTCATTAGGAAAAAAGTCACCGATAGACAACCAGTTGGATTGGTTTTCATTACAATTGGTATAATGGTGGTAGCGTGATAGAATTTGAACTGATTCTAATTAGCGAAATTGGAGAATCAAATTCCTGACATCATAATAATTGAATCCGATGCAATCCTTGTCGTTGTAACATGCAGAAAAGCAATCAGACCCATTCTCATGGGAAATGATCCAATCCTTGTAGACACTGTCATGAAACTTATCAACTCTATCAAAAACGCAGGGCAAAAGACTTCCTGTCTGAAAAAAAAGTTTGTATACAACTTGAGAATACGTTGATGAGCTTCTTAGAAAATGAAAGCTAACCTGGATAAAGAACAGTACAAGGGCAAGCCACTTCATTGCCGTCGCACCTGACCGGCTTCAAGCTCTAACAATGATCAAAACCTTTCCAAAAGCCTGTACCGCCTATTTGGTAGCATAGTTACCAGAAACAAGGGCAGTAAAAATTTTGTTACCAGGAGATTCGATTGTTTACCGTTTTATGTGGATTTCCTGAAAGCAGATTCTCTTTGTGTCAGAGTAGAACACAAATCACAGTCGTTAGACAATGCCATAAATCGATTTTCTGTAGAAATTTCGCCCAGTAGTAGCTACATTTTTGAAGATTTCGTAAAAGTAAACAATGTTAAGAGAGTGGGAAATTGAGCCTGTAAGGAGACTTACTAGCAGCATTGAATTACGAGGTTTTTTTTCGATGGTATCATTTCATTGAGGACAAGGTCATTAGAAGAAAACCAAGGCTTCAGTTTTAATTGGCGGAAAAGACACTGTAGAATGAGAATAAGTTTTTCCAAAAGAAAAATCTTCATACGCTCCATCAGAAATGAGAACATATAAAAGAGAGGCAAATAACGGCCTTGACTATTCCAAAAAATGTCAAAAGATGAATCTCAAAAACTGGGAACCCCCGGTTCTCAGGATGTGGGTCGTTCGCCACCTATTATACAGATTGTCCCAAAAAAAAGTATCAAACATTTGATACTCAGTGACATCCTCATATAGTAGCGGAAGACTTTGTAATTAGATTCAGCATCTCCGAAAAAATAGTTTGACGTTCTTCGGGTTTATTTTGGAATTTTTCAGAAGCGATCTTTATCTGTCAGAAGCCGAAAATTAGTCGAAATTGATACCGTAACCTTATAGTAACTAAGAGAAATCGATGAGCAAATCTAAGTTAAAGCTAGTACTATATGGCACCCAAAGATCCGCGAAAGCTTTCCATATAAGGAAGTTATTGAAGATCAAATGTTCGATACATTTTTTGGGATACCCTGTATAGTATTTGCTGCAGCTCACTGAATTCCATTTTGATTGCTTGGGATTATAAATCTGAATAGTGGAATGAAAAACTCGATGGATCAATTTTTTCACGTTTCTGAGTTTTGAGAGCAGTTTGAAATAAATACGAATTCGTTTTCAGCCATCCATCCGCAGGTCAAAATCGCCTCATCTAGGCTGAGTGCAGGTGACATCTTCCTTATGCAAATACCATTCTTATCTTCAATTGCAGGCATGTTGTAGCTAGCTAGTACTGAAGGCTAATTTTATTACATTTTTTGATTGTGCCAGTGCCTCTATACATATTTCAGCTATCTACCTATCTCGACTAAAATCAACTGCGTTGTTCCGAAGATTTGTGCAATTTTTTGAACAACCAAAAATTTACGTGGATGAAAGTATTCATTATGTACTTACTCACTCATTATTTTTACAGTATTGACATACGAAGCTTTTCTTCCTCTTTCTAGCAGTATTACGGAGTAGTTGGTTCATCAGTGATAGAATCCTGCACGAAGAATGAGCAGATTTAAGAGAGAGTTAATCACGGTCCTCTTTCCATACTCGACTTGTTGGAAAATGCCTTGCAAGAAATTGAATGCATAATATCCGCTTTTCTCTGATTACTCTCCATAAAACATATTGCACAATCTGTCATAACACTCTAATTATTTCCCAGTTTCCACAAACTTGAAAACAATGATCACGCTATTAATTTGGCTAATCAATAATTTCGTTTGGACATGCAAGTTCAAGGATCTATCAAAGTTTAAGTACTTCATATTCAGCAAGGTTTTTTTGTGAAGAGGTAGCTTCAAAGTTGTACCATCAAATGATTTCATTTAGGTTTTCTTCGATAATAGGGGCAGTCACGTTCTAATTTGGCCAGATTTCAGAAATTTACTATTTTGACTTTCTAGGCTTCGTTTGCTGGTGTTAGTCGAAGATTTGTAGGAGGTGGTTGCACACAATCTTTGGCTAAATGAGGAGCCACAATGAAGGTTGTGGCTTGCGGTTTATGAAATTTTGAAACCAAAAATGTGAAAGTTTCCTAGTATTTGCAAGTGCGGCTTATTTTTTGAGCAATCCAAATCGCTTGTATTTGACCATCTGTGGTCATGCAAATGTTGCGAAATATCAAAATCAAAATGTGGGTTCCAAATGTGCAATCTACACACAATCTCGATATTATTTGGAGCATGACTTTTCGAAAAGTTGACGAAAGAATCTGACTATTTTATCTGCACAGTGTATTTGTCAAAACAACTGTCACTAAAATAGGGTGAACTAGTCGATTCTGCTCGATTTACCCTTTCCATACATTTATATACAGGATTATTTGTAACATTTTCATAAACCGTGAGAACGACCGAAATTATTTCGTAGCAAACTTAATATAAAGATTTCTAGCAAAGTTTCTCGTAAAAATCTCAGGTTTGTAGTATGACTTTGCTATGTAAGCAAAATATTATAGTTTTTGTCGAGGTGCTCATTTTCGATCTTTGCAGCCTTTTTATTTTGCATTGCTTTTGAAACTTCTGACGATGGTTACTTTTAGAAGAATGAAAGAATGAGATGCACTTTTCACGCTTTTCAGCCAGATCGTGAGTGAGAACATGCGTTTATTTTATTCAGGACCCTTTAAACCTATTACTATTTGCTCTGCATTGTGAGTTCATGGATTTCAGCTGCATAGCATAAGTACTGCAAGACATTCACCTGAACAACGGGTTACAAAATATTTCTAACAATCATGCTCAAAATATGGAGCCTTACACACTCTATCGCTTACTTTCTATATGCATGACTAACGACATCAATCAGTTGTCATGCATGAGTATATTAAGACACTTTACGGAGGTTTAGGTTTACTAATCGACTTTGCAAGAAAAAACTAATCTTTAGTTTACTGGTAATCACCATCAAATGCCAGTCTAACCATTCTAATGGCTCTCGCTTTTGTTTCTTTATCATAATTATCGCACTTGTAATAAGGCGTCTTTCTTCGTTCTCTTCCTTTATATGTGACCTCTGTTCCAGGGCTAAGCATCTAGACTGTGCTTTTCAGATATGCAATCTCTATTTCCGTAACCCTTCGGCACTTCTGACCGTCGCTCAACTAAAGAGTTTTTGTCACGAAAACTAACGAAGTTTTGAGCTCCTAATTGCTTTTCAGAATATATGTAAAACTTACGGTTTTGCGAAATACCAATACGTGCAATTGAGGCCTTAAACGCAGTGTCCAGGCAAATCTGGGCACAATTTGGGAATTTTGTCTGGAAACTGTCGAGGAGGCTCTAGCTAAGGCACTGCCCAAACCGCAGCGCAAATAATCCATTCACGGCTGGAAAATCCATCCACAAACACTCCACTGCTGTACCGTGACCGTAACACTCAAGATCGGTTTTAGCGCGAACGTAGTGTTGAAAAGAGCGATGCCGTTTTTGGGTTACGGTTACGGCGCAGGCGCGCGGTCTTCAGGGACGGATTTCTCAGCCGTGATTGAACAATTTGCGCTGCCCCTCGGGCAGTGCCTTATTTAGGACCCTCTTATCAATTTCCAGGCGAAACAGCCAAGCGACCAGATTTGCCTGGACATTGCCTATAAGATTGTAGCCAGGAAGGCATGGGAGAGATTATGAGCGAGGATAATTCAAAAGTGAGAAAAGATTCAGAAAGATAAAACATAGCAGAGAAATACCATGATGCAGAACGAGTGCAAATCCAATATGCAAGTCTGTTTTTTACACTGTGGTTTTGGGAGCTTGAAATGGACCACATGTGTGGCTTTCCTGCCGCCCCGGGCTCTAGAACCCTCTCACAGTAGCTCACGATAAAGCCTCAGAAATACTGCAGAAGAATAGGGAAGTGCTGACACGAGAGGAGTCCAAGGCGTACAAAAGAGCTGAGCTCAATTACTGGTTCGCCCGTTCCCTCGCCGCCTATCTGCGCCCCTCTCAAGTCCCTGTAGTAGGTCATTCATTTTGTTTAATTTCATTCATAAGAAAATGTATCGCTCCGGGAAAGCCATACTTTGGTATGATGTAAGGCCTTTCTGAGGGCATGGCATAATGTTTGTACTTTAACAACGCTCTACCCATTGAAAATATGTATCTCAAAGTTTAAAAATTCTATCGGAAAAATCCACATAATTGCTGTTTCTGTTGATTCTAACAAATTCCCCTATTATCGTATTGATTATAATATGCTTTGATATATTACACGCTTTGATATATTACACAATCTATGTGGGTATCTGTAAATTTATTTATTTATCTATTTATTTAAAATACACACAAGGTGCTCCAAAACAAGGCAAAAAACCAGCAACCAGCTAATAAAAAGTATTCATGAATGATTAAGTAGACAGGTGGAAAAACCCTTCGTTGGACCAACACGTCGTTCTCCTTCTTCTGTAGGTGAGGATACCTCCGCCGAGTTCCTGGTCCCTTACCCGAACGCAGTGAAAGGTCGAAGGTACCAGGGCTGGCTGACCACTTAACCTTGACGGACGAATCCGCCACGGACCCTGGGCGAGCGGGAAGGGGGGTTCTCAAGGAAGGGGGCTCGCCAACTATTGACCTCCTCAAACGGCTTCCCAAGCGAAGAGCTGTAAACCTGTCCGAACGGTTACAAGTAAGGCAAGAAGCAATACTTACAAGATTCCAAACTTATCACTGACTTCTTTATACAAAAGGTCAGTAGAGCCATAAAAAATGGTCAAAAGTGCCAAAAAATTTTTTTCATAATTTGATTAAAATTAAATTGTAAAGTTATAAGCATCCGTTTTGTTATACCTACAAAAACCATCTCATCTTCCTTTACTTTTGATATGTTTCAAGACTACTTCCAACCTATCTAACGTATGGATGCATTTCTTGCATGTGGAATGAATTGTAATTCTTGACATAATTGCTTTTGTTGGTAAGAAGAAGCTCTATACTAAACACTTTCTGATAAGCTATAGTGAGCATTTTTTTAAACTTCTTTAATTATGCACTCCATGCTTGATGTTAGAATCTCAATGACTACTTCGATTCCATTAGTCAATAACGCCACCGAAGCATGTTCAAGAGGCAAAAACTAACCCTTGTGCTGGAGAACCTCAGCTTCTTCAGGTCAGCTTCTTATCGTACTTTAACACAAGAGTGTGCAGCGTACGGGAGTATATAAATGCATCAATTACCATTAAAATCGTCATCATTGCATGATGAAGTACAGTCTCATTGTAATCATCTTCGCTATTGTCTTTCGTGAAAGGTGAGTTCAAACATATAGATTACGCTGGTTACGAAAGTTGTTTTTAAGACACGTTGCAAGCCTCCCCTACGCTTATCCTGGTCAGTTTCTAAAAATTTAATGAGTGTTTTTCCTACATGACATTTGAAAACTTGTAGCTTTCTCTACAAACATGTTAGCGGTCCCCTATGTTCACCCCGTAGCACCTATAATGCACGCTGTTCCTGCTTACCATCCGCACATCGTGAGTTTATTTTAGTTTCTGATTATCAGGCACACCGATTTCAACACAAAAATATTGACTTGTACTCTAGGCTTATCGCCCCTATCATGAGCTGCAAAATGTTGCTGGAGCAGTAAAGAAAGGTATAATCTGTTGCATATTACGGCTAACGTAAGTACAACCTTCCAGAATTAAATCTGCTTACTGATGTTGCCGTACGTTTCCCGATAAGAAGAAGTTGAAGAAGCCTGCTGTGGTCTAATGACAAAAATGCGTGATTTGACATGTATAGAAATCTCTTTTGGTTTGAGTGCTAATCTATCTGCCACTGTTCTGCACGTTCGTCTGGGTTCGAATTTGAATAAAATCATGGAACCTAGTCATATGTGCAACAAAAAATTGTTTGTCATGAGAAAGTCAGTGGAAAGAGCATGCGATCAAATTTACAGCGCCTTCATGCTCTCTCCCCCAACCTTTGATCCGACGAACAATCCAAGCGCCATCATATTTTGATTACGTGATCGGTTATGAAGTACTAACGTGGATGCTTTTTTAAAAAGTGGCCTTTCGCCTTTCGAGAGGTTATACATGTTGCTGAGAGCTGTGATGCTGATCATAAATTTTTATGTAACAGTATTGAGAGTTGTTTCATACTGCAGTCGCTGCAACACCGACGTCGATCGATCGATATCTTTTGCCCGCCCCACTGTGACTGCAGTTGCTGCAGGGACTGCAGTATGAAACAACTCAAAATGAGCGAAGTCGTTTTTGGGGTACGGTCACGGCGCAGGCGGGGGTTATCGGGGACGGACTTCTCAGCCGTGATTGAACAATTTGCGCTGCCCCTTGGGCAGTGCCTTAGTTAGTACCCCCTCATCAATTTCCAGGCGAAAGAGCCATGCGATCAGATTTGCCTGGACACTGCCTTTAAGTGATATTTTTGTGCCTTTTTTATCTTTGCATTTGTCCCGCATATGCAGGATCTGCTTTTCTTGTCAGTCCTCTCCATGTTCTTTTATCAGAGAAGGTCTTCATCTAAGTCGTCGCAGGTCGCCCTTAATTCTGTCCATTCACCTCATCTTGGTACCTCACCTCCAGGTCTTTCACTTGGTACCTTCACCGTCAAGGCTAACCGTGATGTGGCTCTCCTCCCTTCTGGCACCTGCCGTACTATAGGAGGTCCGCGCAGAGCGCGGAGAGTGCGCAAGTTGTGTATTGCGCGTCACTCCTCTTTTCTCGCGCACTCTCGCCGCCTGTTTTCTCTGCGCTTCTTCCAGTCGTGAACTGCCTTCATGTACGCAACAGCGTTGCTCTCCGTGCGCAGCGCGGACGGCCTATACCGTAATCTCTTCTCCTGCATTTTTTGGGCAACTGATACTTTCATTTTGACTCGTATAGTGTCGATGTTGTCCTTCAGTATTAATCTTGAACTCCACTGCAACATCCTTGTTTTCGTGACACTGAGCTTGTGTTCCTCGTTCCGCATAAGACCAGCACTCAATGCCATACAGTGCTGCTGGACGGATAACGGTTAGGTACAACCCTTAAGTTACACGGCATTCATGTCTTGCATGATACGAGTGTCTGCATAAGATACATTTTCGTTCAGATTTCTGCTATCATCGTGCTGTTACTGTAATTGGCGCCGGTGCATAATTTGCTGAATCATAGATGGGGTAGGCAGCATTAGAAAAGTGAACCCTCACAATAACTTCGCAAGCGGGACACGAACACCCAATCAGCGTTTTTATTATGCGAAAATAGTCATCCAGTCTACCCTCAAAGTGATAGGTAGACATCCTAGTTCATTCATTCTCCCTCTTCCTTTCTACTGTTCTCATTTCGTTTTTACCTTAGTGTATCTTAGACAAATTGATCTTCTTTTCTCGCAGACAGAACGTCATTATTGTGCTTTTTGCATACATTCATGTAATTGTAGCTCATCTTCATGAAGAGGTTGAAAGTATAAAGGCAAAAAAGTTTAACATTTTATTTTGAACTCATACTGCAAAGGGTACGCATGTCATGCCTTCTTTTCAAACGTCCACATATGTTTTGCACACTGGATCCACTTCGTCATGGTGAAGCATGTAGCAGATTTCTGTCAAAGAACATCCGTATGTAAAATCTCAGAGTGAAAAAAATTGCAACGGTTCTGCAACACACTTGAACTCAATGCTGTTCAGCACCTCATGTTTCTCTTTCTAACACAGGAACAGCAGTGGACAACCAGCTTGATTGGTTTTACTACACTTGGTATGATGGTGGTTGCTAGATATCTAACGGATTTTTGAAAATTTATATTAGGTTAGTGCAAAAGTAATGCGCGTTTTTCTAGCACAACTTTTTTCCATCAAACTTTCTTCTTTGAAAAGAAATTAGCATACCATCAAGAAAATCTTTTTATGGTCTATTCAAAGGTATTTGAAACAAATTTCTAACTTCATTGGTTGAAAATTTATAGAGCTTCACAGAACCGCACTCGAAATCACAATTTTGTTGCACTTACTTTTCTGGCCAGAAGCGCGAATAAACCGCGCTTTTTCAAAATTTAGCTACTTTATGTAAAAGAAACTGTCTACATTACCCACAATTGAGCATTATCTTTGAAATTATCTGGATTAAGATATAGGCACCTCAATATGGGTAGCAGTTGCGGTCATTCTATGACCTATAAATTCCTTTTGAAGAAGGTAATCGCCAAAGCTTTGCTCACTTCTGTAAGCGTAAGGGTAAGCCTCCTATTGACAGTTTTTGTAGAAATGCTTAGTTGTTTAGTACGCAGAAAAACAAAAAATTCCATCTTTTGGGACTTCGAGGCCCACGAAACAATGGTGAAAAAAGCGGACGATTTTGGATTTTGATTTGTTCCTTTTTGCAAATTTTCTTTGTTTGATCCTTTTTCAACTTTTTTGTACTATTGGCTTGCGACTACAAGATAGGCCACTCATCATTTATACTAACAAATTCTAAAGGAAGTTATTATGATCAGGTAAAAACGAGGTTTTAGGAAAAGATTTTTTGCTTATCAATTTATATTTTTCTGCCCGTTTGTGATATGAGTATAAGTGGATGTTTGCTGTATTGCGAAAGGTTTGCTGCCTCTGATAATTTATATCGCATCAAAAAATATAGACTCTTTAAAAAGTTATAGCGTGTCAAAGTGAAAACTCGCGAAACGCCCATTACTTTTGCACCAACCTAATATTATGTTTCTTTGCTACGGTTCCTAGCTGTCAGTTTGAAATGATTCAAGTAACTGACTTTTCCGAGCCTGATTCCGGTATATTTTTCATCATTGTAACATGCAGCAAAGCAATTAATCGTTATGCTACTCAAGAATTTTTAGCTCTAAGCACTTCCCAATTTCTACGGCATTTAATCTTCAAGAAAAGCTCTCAAATCAAGAGTAGCAATTGCTTAGGCTTAGAGTTAATGTATAGCTCACATATCTAATATATGGTTGCTACTCAATTCTTTTTATTTTGAGTCAAAGACAACTTCAACAGCTAGATGCACAGTTCTAGTTTGCACAACTCAAAATTTTCCAGGATTGATTTCCTCCGCCTACTGCACAGTTCTAGTTTGCACAACTCAAAATTTTCCAGGATTGATTTCCTCCGCTTACCAATGTGCCAGATCAGATGACCTCGTACGGAGACGAGCCGAGTGAGTTTTGTATAGGTTGGAAACTAAGTTTTGTAATTGATCTCATAATTTCCCTCTCACTCAACATGGCGCACTCAATTTTTGCCACTGCGCTGGTTATTACATAAGCTACAAGCGCAGCTGCTGTTCCGCCAAATTCTGGCGTCGAAGTGAGGGTTACGGTAGTTGCATGGTATGAAGGGGAAAAATTCAAAGTTTGACGGATTTGGCTGAAAGTTGGCATAGGGGTGTTATCCGACATGCTGATCACGAAAACGATAGTGAAATTGCGTGATAAGGGCTTTTTTGTAGGATTACTGTAGGTGTACGATATGGGGTCTCAACCTAAACAAGGAAAACGGCGTTGAATCAACAAATGAATGTGATATTCGCGTTTGGAGGTCAAATAACCTTACTATGTAAAGTCTCGGCGGAATTTGAGCTTCGGACTCTTTAGTCATTGACGGTCGTCCCCAGCTTGCGTACATCTTCTCCTTCGAATTTATGAGGACGCCAAATCACGACATGTCCTATTTTTTGTTTCTTTCTTACTAGGCCAAAGGAGTGAACCTCCAGCAATAATTTATAGACGAACTCGGATTACTGCGCATGGTCTAGGCCGCCAAAGGCTTCATAGCTTGAAACCCCAAAAATTCTCAAATTTCACTAGTTTTTGAAAAACGCCTGAAACTTTTCTATTTCGTGCTCAAAATTTGGACAATTTGTGCTCGCTTGTAGCACACATTGCCTTCTACATAATGCCAAAGTTTGAGTGCGCCATATCCAAAGAGAGTGAAGTTATGAAACCAGTTGCAAAACTTAGTTTCCATCCTAATAAATTTTTGAATCATGGGTGGTTTTACTGGTTGCGAAATACTGTTTTTTCTTTAGATACTGGTGTACAAGCATCGATATTGATAGCAGGATCTTCCTCTTCTCAGCCAGGAGGTATCAAACCATTTCGAAACGTTCAAGAGACTTTCATTCTCTTTATCGATGATTTTCAGCATGCCCAACAAATGAAACGTACAATCAGTGTGGTAATCGATGTGAAGCGACTTGTGCAGAGATCAGTGGCGAGGTTGTTAATCAAAATTTGTTTTTCTGAACCTCTTAGTAAAATACTTGCATTGTAGCCAAGATTATGTCCAACTATTTGCGATCCACCAGCTTGCGCATGTGCTCCAGGATTCTACCGACTCAACGGGCGGTGTGTCACCAGGCAGCAATGTCCAGGAGGTTAGCTACTTACGTGGTTTTATCCAAACCGAAACCTTTACACAATCACGAATAATTACAGTACCGCTCATATTTAGTCAAAAAAGTGGCCAAACTTCATCAGATTTTACCAAAATCCACGCCGCATTGCGATATCTTAGTTCAGGGTAAAGAATCGGAGAGCACCGTTCAACTATGCATCTTCTCAATTTTCAAAACCAAAAAAATAACAAGTGCCCTTTTGGAAACGACAGATGAATGGGAAGCGGTCATATTTGGTATATTTTTCCTATGATAGGTTACTCAGAGGTGCAACGAAACGAAATAAGTAACTTATTGTAAGCGAAAATATCAAAATGATTCGTGGAAACTGACCCCTAAGGCAGGCGCCATACTTGATCCGCTTCATCCGCTTCACTATTGTTAAGTTCACTGAATTGACCAATGATGAAGCGGATCAAGCGGATCAAGTGGATCAAGCGGATCAAGTATGGCGCGTGCCTAAGTGCGCTTACCGTATCCAAACGGGCACTTCTCTAAATCGAAAGATGCATCTTGCCGATCTCAGTTGAACAGTGCCCTTGGACAGGAATTCATCCACCTCTACCAGGATATGGCGATGCAACGCGAATTTCGGTAAACTTTAGTGGAGTTCGCTGACCTTTTTGGCTAATTTTTTGAACCAAGTCCTGACCTTTTCTTCTGAATTCTTTGTTTTTTAACATAAAACCCTTTTTTAAAACTTTTTGTGTTTTTTGAAAGCCCGTTTCTTTTGGTTTTTCTATACTCATATGCTTTCTATCGCATTTCTTTGGAGTGCCTACAAAAATGAGGTACCAGAACTTGCGTTCTTTCTTTCGTTCTCCTTGCTTGAATCCTTGAAAAATAGTCGAATTTGCTCTGTAAAATATGGACTATGGTTGCGAAACTCACTGCTAAGAAAGCCCGTTAAGTTCAAATTTTTTGTAAAATTTTGAACCGGGAATGTTTGACTCCAATACCATTGGTCGTTGGGACCATTCTGCGCTGTATGGAAGTCTTAGGCAAAGAGCAGCTAAAGTGAACCTAGTAAAACCACTGAATAAAGAACGACAAACTTTCCTCATTTTCGGAAGGATGAAAAAATTGAAGAATTCTAAAAGCAATTTTTCGCCTATTCAAAAATGTCAGAAAAATGAGTATCCGACTTTTCGCAGTATTTTCTGGCGAAAAAATCTGTAAAATCCAAACTTCGCTTCGCTGAAGCGACCATCGGCTACACTGCGCCGTCTTAGCTTTAGGAGTAAACTGAGCTCTTTACTCAGGGGTTTCAAGTAAAAATTTGCGAGCGCACCAAAAAATTCTCGTAGTGGCTCCAATCATACAAAATTATATGTTGTCCAGTCAAAAGTAAAATTTCTAAGATTATTATCTTCAGCATGTCCAGCGAATGAGGTGTACAGTCAATGCGGTAACCGTTGCGAGCCTACTTGTGCAGACATCAGCGGCGGGGTGAATGTCTCACTATTTCAATTTTTGACCTCTTTCGAATTATCTGCTTTACAGCCGAGATTATGTCCAGCAATTTGCGACCCACCAGCTTGCGCATGTGCCCAGGGATATTACAGACTCAATGGGCGGTGTGTCACAAGACAGCAATGCCCAGCAGGTTAGCAAAAACAAACGCTAATATGCAAGTTGAACCGAAAGTTCTATCGCACCATGAGAAATCGTAAATTGCTTCTGTCTTAATGTTTTAATTCTGTTAAGTTTTACTACAAAGAGCGAATCACGCTTTTCCTGAAATTTCTTGACTCCATAAAAATAACCAGTGACTTTAGTGAGAAAAATTGAAGAAGAATCATTCGAGTTTGCACTTTTGAGCAGGGTCAACCAAAATCTGAGAGATGCAAAAAAGTTCAGAACACTTAGTATTGTGAATTCCATGACATTCCCTTTGAATGAGCAAAGTTTGTGCTGATCGAGCTTCTCTGAAAAAGGTACGACTTTCGAAAAAAATAGCACATTAAAATCAAATTTTTGGCATTTTCCTCGAAAGTCTGATTTTCCACGTACAGGTTCAGTCGGCACAGTTTGGCATTATTAAGAAGATACTTCAACATTCATGATAACATACTATTGCTTAATTTTTTTAGAAAATTTTTGAGGGTTGCTCATTATCTCCTGGCTTGAATGATTTGATTCTTCTATTTTTAGCTCTGCAGTCAAAAAAAATGGAAGGTTTTTAAAATATCAGTATAAAGCACAACATCTATTCTTTTAAAAAATTGCTGCTTACAATCCAAATAGAACAGATTACGATTTTTTCGAAATGATGCGACTAAACTTTATGCTCAACCTTATGGAATGTGGCCAAGTAGTGAATATGGTGAAATACATATGTACACGACAATGGCGTACCGAGGGGGGGCGGGGGGGGGGCGCGCGCCTCGCGAAATTTTTGAAAGTTACTTACATGGGTTATAAAATTGTGCAAATGACTTGTCTGCACTTGTAAATAATTGAAATAATTTTTAAAATTTTTTAAAAATTCATTTTAGCCTTATAAAAATTTTTTTTCGGGGGCGTGACTGACGCCACGCCCCCTTTTTCCAGATTTTAGGGGTCGGAGACCCGCAAAATTTTTGAAAAGCACCCTAAAAATTTTTTCGGAGTGCGTGGCTAACGCCACGCACCTTCTCTAGAAAAAATTTTTTGTCGCGCCCCCCCCCCCCCGAGCCGAAATCCTGGGTACGCCACTGGTACACGAATTTATGTTGAACATGAGTTTACGCTTGCTTCAATTCAGGGATTAGCAGAACAGTTCTGAGATCTCGGCGACAAACAGGTTGGCCGTTTTTAGTTTTTAATATTGACTTACTATTGATCCAATTGTTGTAGATCCAATGACCGGTTACGGAGATGAGCCAGCTCTTCCTGAGCCTCTTGGTCCACGTATGTAAAATTAGCTCATAGCTACATAAATGCTGCTAGTTTAAAATTTAACAATAAGTATTCAGCATTGGATCCTTGTTTCTCATTCCCGTGCCGAATTGGAGAAACGTGTATGCAAGATGAGAATGGTCCACGATGTGTACCACCAGGTTCGTAATTCTCATTTTGGACAATGACAAAATTCACTCTTTATTGGTACCAACTTTGACCAACTGACTAGAAAAGGCTCTCTAAAACCGCTTCGAAATCTTATGGAAAAAGCTATCAATCATATAAAAAACATGACGAAATCGCTGTAATGCCAATCGAGACAGTTATTCCATTCGTCAGAATAAGCGTTCATCCAAATTTTCCATTCATTTTTTCAAAATCAAGTAAATTCAGCTCAAAACCGCTCTCAAAAAGCATGTAGTCTTTAATTAAAAATAACAATAGATCTACGAAGCTCAAAAAATATAGAAAAGGGAAAAATTGTCTTATTTTTCCATTTGCAACTGAATCTGACAACTTCTAGTATATGACCTAATTCTCCAAATTGCAGTAATTTTCTCCTGGATGAAAAATGCAGATCTTTTATCAAGTACGTTCATGTGTCCCCAGCCGTCCCCAGCCGCTTTCATAAGGAAAGAACCTGTTTGGTCGCTTATTTTTTTTCTAATTGCTCAAGGAATCAATAGAATTCATATTTTGCAAATTTGAGTCGTGTCACACAAATACGGATAGGTTGTGACAAATTTTCGCAGTGTCGGTGGCATACAACACCTCTAGTATTTTTTGAAAAAAGGCGGACGCTCGCCCGATTCATTTGAACTGTAGCGTGGCTATATCTCGTTTCAGAGTAACAAATTCTTATTTCAAGGACACCATTCAACTCTGCTCGGTCGGAGCATCTTCTGATATATAGAAGTGCGGCTTGGACACAGATGGAGGTCAGATTCCGCGAATTGTCTCAAATTTTTGCTTACGATAGGCCACTTAGTGTGCTTATTCATTACGCAAAAGCCTGAAACGATTCGTGGAGTCTGCCTCCTACCGTGATGTCCACTCGGGCACTTCCAAGTATTTGAAGATGCGCTACGCCGAGCTGAGTCGAATTGTACTCTTGTATTACGAATCCGTCCACGCTGAAGTGACATATGGCCACCCTACGATGATGCTACATGAATCGGGCGACTTTGCGGTCGGAGCAAAATTTTTTCAAAATTACGACCGGTATTGTACATATATTTTAGTTCAAATGGAAACTGTTCGTGAATAAATGATCACAGATATTTATGGTTCTTAAGAAACTACAAAACCATGAATTGGCTTTTCCAACAATTTTTCCTAAAGCAGTTGTGCATGAATCAAAGGCAAAGAATTTTATTAATTGATTATGTAGTAATTTAGTATAAGCTCATAATCCTTACATTATAGCACTGCAATGCAGCGTCAATGAGACCGTCAGCAATTGTGGTGCTCTTTGTGAAGGAAAATGTGCCACTGTAGATGAGGTTAGGCTCTTCTCCACTTGAAAAAATTAGCATTTACCTAATATTTAGCAGAATAGACCTTGCCCCGATATATGCCTGCCGCCTGCATGCGCTTGCTCCTTGGGATATTTTAGGAACGAAGCTGGAGAATGTGTCTCGGCCGGAGACTGCCCGTCAAGTAAGTTTTTTTCTTGAAAGTTGAAACCGTCAACAACTGTGGCGCTCTTTGTGAGGGAAAATGTGCCACAGTGGATTACGTAGGTCTCCACTTCATAAAATCAGCAATGAAAGTTATGGCACTCAATAGTTTCGAAAACATCCTACCGAAAATTAAAAAAAAAACAGTTTTATGCTTGTTTTGGTGAAAGGTAAGAGAATTTGATAGTTTTTATATACGATCAAAAAAATAGAAAAGGGCATCAGGAAATACAGGGTGTTGGTAAAGTATGTATACACTGTTTGATCGTTAATATCTTCCCTCCCAACAAGTCTTTTGTCTTGCTTCATATACCGTTGTTAGAGCTGGCTTCAACTTAGATTTACAGTATAGAGCGAATCATGTATCGCTTTTCATTACTGTAGGATTACGGTACGAACTTCCAGCATACGGAACCAATGTGAAATATACCACTTAACAAAACTTTCTTCAAAAAATCTGAAAAATCGTGTACTAGGGTTTTCGCGCATGCTGATTCCACCTAACAACTTTTTACAAGTGTTTTCGGCTTTTTTGACGGTGTAATTACATTTTTGACAAATGCTGGGAATTGAGTTACCACGATTTACCGGGGATAGCTTAGGAAAGAAGCATCACAGTAAAATGGGAATTTCAAATTCGAAATCAGCGGCTCCCATTACCGTAGTATAAGAGTTTTTGGCTTGTTTGGTCTTGTTCCGAGGCAGAATATAGCCTCCAATGGCCTAAAATCTTTGTCGAAGTTCATACCGTAATCCTACAGTAATGAAGAAAGATAGATGATTCGCTCCAAACTGCAAATCTAAGTTTGACCTCGCTCTACAAAACGCAACCTGAAGCAAGGCAAAATACTTGTTGGGAGGAAAGATATTAACGATCAAACAGTGTATACATACTTTACGGACACCCTGTATTAGGAGAATATACGATTGTCGCGCACCAATTTGATTTTGTAGAATAAGGAATGCTATAATAATGTTTTAGGATGTTCTGAAAATGAGCAGATTAACACTTGTGGAAGAAGCTGTGAACCTACTTGTGAGAACGCCTTTGGCAAGGTGGGAAACCCATCAAGTCCTTTTTTTTTTCAGAAAAAATCATGATAGTTTGTCTGCTATTTCGAATTATTGTTCTCCGAAAAATTAATGGCGAAATAAACCAAAAAAGCAGATTTAGATCAAAGTCTGCAATCTCATCTGCAACCCACCGGCTTGTGTTTGCAAACCGAATTTCTACAGACATAATGGAGCATGCATACCGCAAATGCAATGCAGTGAGCGAATAACTTTTTTGAAATTCGTTTTTGTTTTGTTATCTATCCTCCAAATCATTTCAGCTCCACCGAGGGATGGAGTGGGATCTATTGCCTTGGACGTTATCGCTTGTAAGTTTCTATAATGCAAGCTCTTTTTCTTATATAGGAATTTTCCGCACATGTCATGGAATATGGAAAATCAAACTGCTAATGTCTAGCTTCGTATGCTAAAATTCTCGTTCAAAGAAAACTGGATTATTCTCAACATTTTTCTTCTTTCATTGGCATGCTCGTTTTGCAAGAATGTCTACGTTTCTTCTAATTCAATAGAATTTTATTATAATCACATTTTTTCTATAGTCGTTACCATCGTTCTTGTTGTTCTTGTGGTCTGACTTATGATAAAATATGAAAAGTGTAGCTAGAACGATCGGCAGGCTTGGCACAAGTTGACACCAGGAAAATTTCAAACGGAATCCCCTTTGATCTTGAAAGTCTTGTACAAAGTCCTTTGACCTTAAACCCTGAACAAAAACTACTCTCAAGAAATAAAATCGACTAAAAAAACGTCGCATTTTCGGCCACAAAAACGATTTTCCCTTTACTTTTTGTCTCAAAAACAGTATCCGCCTGACCCGGTGCCAGCTGTGCCGAGCCCTGACGATGAGCATCGTAGTTTTTGAGAATCCTTTTCGCTTTGCTTAACTACGATAGCAGTCAAGTCATTGAGATCGAAAATTTAGGACGTAGGTGTTAGGATATTGCTTAAATCGCTTTGTCCATTTTTAACTTAAAGTAGTAGTTTATTTTTAGCCACGCCTACTACTTCAGCAAGCAGTGCAAGCAATTACGTTGATGAACCAGTTACACGTAAGTAGATTCAATTCTAAATACTATGGCCAGTATTTAAATTATGATGGAAGGTGTAAACAAATTCTCTATGGGAAACTAGCCATATTACGTAGGACTAAGACCGAAGGCATTTAAACGAACACTTTTCGCCACACTTACACAATTTTCCGAAAAATATTGCTTTGTATTCGGAATTCTTTAAAAAAGTGATTGAGACCAAAATATTAGGTTGGCACGAAAGTTCTGTCCCCCATTTTCAAAAATTCATAATTTCCGATTTTTTTAACCAATTTGGCTGCATTTATTTTTGTTTGAAAACGTAACTCATGCTCTTTACAGTCATTTGTTGCATAGATAGGAGCGATAGAAGATCGAGCAAGAAATACAAAAGGGCGAATTTGATTTAATTTGGTATTTTTCAGGGAAATCATAACTTTTGATAGAGACGCTCAATCGACGCAAACTTTGCACCATTAGAAATAGCTGGTAAAAAATCTACAATACTAACTGCTCCGATTTTTCTTGCAAGTTTCCGATTTTTTATGACCCTACACAGAAAATTCAAATTTTGACTAATTTTCTTCTATCGCTCCTATCTATGCAACAAATGATCATTAGCAAGCAGCTAAGATGTCATTGTAAAGAGCATGAGCTACCCTTCCATACAAAAATGAATGCAGCCAAATTGGTTTAGAAAATCGGAAATTATGAATTTTTGAAAATGGGGGGACAGAACTTTCGTGTCAACCTAATACTTTTTTTCTTACAAATCTAATAAATTCATTTGCAGCAAGATCTGGAAACGGAAGAAGTTATGTGGATGAGCCCGTAATTCGTAAGTAATTGTCCTTCTTATGCTAGAAATTCTTCGAGAATGTTTACTCGCACATTTTAGCAAGACAAGGAAGTGGCCAGAGTGGAGGCAGTAATGTCGCGTCAGAACTAGGTTAGTTTTGCATAAATCGATTGAATTTTATTCTTCATGGTTGTGCACTAAATAAAATCAATAAATATTATCTCTATGCTCTTGCAATGTGGGTACTACACACGATCAGAGAGACCTTCGTCAATTATATTAACTTTTCCAGAATGTGGAGCTAATGAAGAAGTTGGACAATGCGGTAATTTGTGCGAGCCAGGATGTGAGAACGCTTTCGGAGAGGTAAGTTCTCCCATAGCTAGATTGCTTTAAATACGCTATGTGAAAGGAAACTGTGGATTGCAGCAAACCTTAAAACAATGAGAAAGAAATTTTCGAAAAAACGTTTGATGCATAATAACGCTGAAGATAACAACTTCCATATTGCTTTTAGAGCCGAAGAAATAGAGCTAGCATTTTATAAGATGAGATTTTGTAAAGCTCTACGAATGGCATAGTCAGGAATTCATCAAGGGATCTGAAAAATTGACAGTGATCTCCATTAATCCGTAGTTTATGTAAAGAGATTGAATGCTAAAATCATAGTGTAAGAATTCCTCTTCAAAATTCATTTCAGCCAAAAGTGTGCATAGAAATTTGCAACCCCCCTGCATGTGTATGCAGATCAAACTTCTATAGAAAAGATGGCAGATGCGTTCCTAAATCTGAATGTCGTAAGTTGATTCGTTCTCAAATTCTTGAATTTGATTTCCCATCGAAAATATATGTTTAGCTGCTCCTGCCAGTGGAGCGAATGGTAACAACAGATATGGTGATGAATCTGTCACGCGTGAGTTAGCAGGGAGTATGAATGTACTTCTCAAATATTATTTTATAGCTGCGTCAGGATCAGCGGCAGTTTTAAGTACAAATCAGGGTGGCCCGATTAGCAATCCGCGATTATGTAAGTCTCTTTTCTATACAAAAATGTTGTTCGTAGATTTTTACCCTGTGCACCAAATTTTCGAAACGGTCTTCTGATAAAGCAAGAATGTCTAAGGTAGTATACGTCGAAATAAATATCGCGCGTATCAATCTAAGCATTTGGACACCGAAACTGGAACTTCCCAAACAAGGCTCGAAAACATATAATAGGTAGTGATATTCGCTTGCCGCAAGTTTCAGGGAGACTATTACATGTAAGAGGATTTGCACCCAACTTTAGACAATACTGCATAAGTTTAAAACTAAGGAAAAGGAATACCAGTTAGAGTTGGGAGTTTTTAAGGACCTAATTGCTTTGATCTAATCAAACGCTTCCATTCCAGCATGTAGTGTCAACGAAACAATCAGTCAGTGTGGAAATCTTTGCGAAGGAAAGTGTGAGAATCTTGAGAAGGTTAGTTGTATGCAATGATCACATGGAAGAACTTTATTGGAGTAATCTTGTATACATTTCAGGGCCCAATAGCCTGTCCTGCTATTTGTGAACCTCCAGCTTGTGCGTGCAAGGATGGCTACTATCGTATTCGCGGGGACAGATGTGTACTCGGAACGGATTGTGAACTTAGTGAGTTTTGCAAAGTTCGAAAATCCTGCTAATTGCTAACAATCCAAATCTCCCTTTTATCCATAACAGACTCTCCATTTTTCTCCTTTTTTAATAAGAACTGTAACTATGAAAAATTGAATATAAATTCCCCTCAATTTCAAGGAAAATACTTCAAAGTTTACACTTTATAGATTGCAAGACCAATGAAGTAGTGAATTCATGTGGTAGTGCATGTGAGCCGACCTGCGAGAATGCATTCGGAAGGGTGCGTTTTATTATGTATTTTTTTTTCTATGGAGATAAACAATAAAAGACGACTTGTGCAAAATGGCGAGCTCCATAGACTCGTTTCGGTAAGCGAAGGGGAGATGAGGGGGAAGAAATTGAGAACTAGAACTATGTATTCCAAAGAACTGTAACTATTACTGTAATGCATTAAGTAGGGTCATTAAGTACCGTACACCGTGTGATATCCTTTTCTGCTTCCCTCGCAAAACAAAGTAGGGGATATGGCAGAGGATAAAGCTGCATTTTGAGGTTAATAATGGGGGAGGGGGAGGGGGAAGAGAGAACGAGGAGCAGAGGAAAATAAGATTGAGTTGTGCTACCATTTGAGTTTACAAGACTGACATTATTCTTTGTTATTACTGTTTTTATCTTTATTCTAGCCAAAGACCTGCGATCGAGTATGTCGTCCCGCAGCATGTGTATGCAGGCCGAATTACTATCGTAATAATGGCGTATGTGTTCCTCAGTCCGGATGTGGTGAGTATAAACGAACAATTTACCGAAGCAATAGTACCTGTTAGTTTAGTGTATTGCATCATGAGAGAACACGGAAATTGAAGAATGAGATGATGAAAATAAAATACGCGATACAGAGTGGCAACAGCTTTTTCTTCTCGAGAATTTTCTAATTACTCTTTTCACATTAACTGTATAACTACGGTATATCTGTAGAAAGAATCAACGGGATGGTCCACAAAGTTTTACAGTGGTCCGCATGTGTTATGAGGTTTTACATGTAGTTTTCCCTGATATCCCTGTAAAATTTGGAAGCATCTTTTGTCAGAAGTAAAAGTCTAGCTAAACCCTTTCGAAATATTTTTCGTCACCTGAAAAATATCTGGAGGTACCAAGTGGTATCACACACCCTCATGGGATTTGATGAGGAAATAAAAATATATAATATATTCTTTTTTTGCTGTTCAAGCAAAGTTTTCTTAGGCGTACCTGGCGCAGCAGCTAGCACAAATCCCATCCAGATCACTGCTGGAAGTACCGGAGGTACTAGAAGCAGTGGCGGAAGTGCCGGTAGTACCTCAGTGTCTACTGCTAGTCAAAGCGGAAGCGGAAGGCCGTTAGGTAAGGAGGAAATTTTTTTCGAGGTTTTGAGTACTTGTTAGCTGCTTACAGTCTGCGGGCGAAACGAAGTTGTTGGATCATGTGGAAATCTTTGCGAGCCGACTTGTGAGAATGCTTTTGGAAGGGTAAGAATTAAACTATATGCTTTGTAATTTCAAGTAGAATTCTTGGACTTCCTAGGAAACACAAAGTATTCTTGTGCGATTTCTGAATACAAGCACCATACAATTCTTAGATACACTCTACTTTTTAGCCGAAAATCTGCAGCCGAGTTTGCAATCCACCTGCATGCGTGTGCAGACCGAACTACTACCGCAATAACGGAACATGTATTCCACAAGCCAGCTGTGGTATGCTTACTAAAATCCAAAGAAATCAGAAATAACTTAGACGAATTCATGTAGTTGATCAAGTGGGTCTTTGTGAAGCAATGACTTGTGAAGAAGGAACGGTTTGCGCTGAAGCCGAGAGCGAACAGAGTGCACGATGCCAGGCCGAAGACCCAGGTATGCCCTCTGCTTTATATTTCTTTCTAAGCTACCAAAGGTTTTCGATATCTTTTAAAATTCATTACTCAAGAGATTTTGTTGAATATAATGAATGAAGAAATACACAAATTTGGCATTGCGAGATACTACAATATCACCCGTAATTTGTGAAAAAAATTGGCGGCGGCACTTAACTCACGCGGCGCCGCCGCAGTTAGGTGGCAAGTGCCGCGTCGGGCGACAAAGTTATCGTCGAGTCATTCCTAACTTAATATGTGTAGTGCACACTATACATGTTAACCGACGAACTGCAAAATTAGGACCTACTCAATTCCAGTGGTTTCTCCTTGTTTCCTTGTCTCCTTTGTTCTTGCTGGTTATATGTTAGTTGATGGAACATTTCTACACTTTGTTAGGCTAGAAACTGTTGCAGTGGAAAGTTAATAGTAATAGTGCCGTCGCTAATAGGGCTTAGTGTGCAATCTCACATATTAAGTTACAAATGACTCGAGGTTAGGTCTTTTCAAAGGAGATAGAAGGGCTGGTGAATTCTGGAAAAATCATGTCATTCTAAATTTTTCTCAACGTAACTTTAAAATATGAAGCTCTCTTGCTAAGCAGATGTGATTTTCGTAATCAGCAGGTCGGATAACCCTTACGAGCAAGCTTTCCTAAATATTCGGTTCCTCCATGAGCGTTTGTATGACGCTCGTTGCAGATATTATGTTCGCTTCGTCGAACGACTCCCACTGTATTGAATATGGTGCTTGCGTGTGCTTCAGCTGCTCAGTTGAATATCTAAGCTATTTCGGTGGGTAGAACTCAAACTACCAAATCTAACACAATGAGATCCATTGACGATGTGAAAAGATTTGAACAACGTGTTGCATAAGCACTCACGGTGGAATTTCGACGAAATATGCGATCTTTACATTTTGGGCAAGATTCATGAGGATGTGTTTTCGTAAGCTCGTAACTCGGCGAATTCTGTAGAGTGAAGTTTGAGGCATGCACCATTCGATGGCACAGTTCCCAGTGAATTTAATCTCTAGACGCAAGCGGGCAAGTTCTCTGACAGATACGCGAGAAGTGCGGGCAAAGTTACGCACTTTTGTGACTCCGTTACGGTACCTCACCATATCTATGCAGAAAGACCATGTATTACTCAAAGACCACGATTTTCGTAAAGAGTGTGTCCGAAAACCTCTATGAGCGAAGTTTCCTTACAATTTAAGAGCATGAACATTTTGACCAAATCCATCGGCCAGCTTCAGAGCGTAAAACGAGAAAAAATGAAATTACCCGAACATTTAGGAAAGCTTGCTCGTAAGGGTTATCCGACCTGCTGATTACGAAAATCACATCTGCTTAGCAAGAGAGCTTCATATTTTAGAGTTACGTTGAGAAAAATTTAGAACGACATATTGTTGTTGTTTGTTTAAACCACAACTATTTATCCTCTCCGCCTGCATGCTATAGCCGCTGCGGTCGTTGCTGTCAGTGCGGTCAGCTGCAGTCTGCTGCAGTCAGTGCAGTCAGCTGCAGTCTGCTGCAGTCTGCTGCGGTCAGTGCAGACTGCTGCAGTCAGTGCGGCAGTATGAAACAGCCCTAACTGCGGCGGCGCCGCGTGAGTTAAGTGCCGCCGCCAATTATTTTCCACAGATTACGGGTGGTATTGTAGCGCTCCCACTGACCCGCTTCGGCTCTGTAAGAGGAAAAAACCATGCTTATTTCTTGTGCTCCAATTTCCAATCGATGGCAAATTCAAAGGTTTTCGTGAAACCAATAACTTCACAAGTTTATAGAAAAATTGGGCACTTAGACCCGAAGACATAACGATTCAAAACTAGGTCCTTCTTTTACAGAATATACACAGTGACTCATTTGTAACTTAATTTGCGTAATGCACACCATGCAAGCTACTTTACGACATGTAGGGTAGAATCTGCCCATTCCCAGTGATTTCTCCTTGTATCGTCGCCTTTTGATTTGAGCGGATGTGTATTAGCTAGAAGTACATACGGTGCTGGACATAATTATAGAGACACTCTAGAAATCGTCGTAGTTTTCGTTCTTGTCAGTGAATCTGTCTAAAACTTTGCTGTATGGTGAGCATTTAAGCCTAACATAACTCCTCAGAACGGCTTCGAATCCCGTTGGTTTCGAACGGAGAAAAATGGGAAAATTCGAAAAAGCCTGTTTTGCAAGCTGGACATAATTATAAAGACTCCTGGCCTTTTTAAACATTATCGCATTCCTTGACTCCCAAATTTTTCTGTAGATAAGGTGAAGAGCGCTTTTGTAAACTCCGCGTAATCGCTGATATTGACAATCAGACTCCAACCTCACCATAGGGTTGTCGCGCTTTTGCACCACAAAACTCGATTTTCAAGTTACAGAAAACGCTGCAATGTAGCCGCAACAATACACGTACAACAATAAACTTGTGTGCCTAGTCAGGAAAAAATTTCGGGGTTGCACATTCTGATTCAGCCGCAGTTGTCATCCGTTGAGAATTGAGTCGAGCACCCTGCACAATCATATCCAACTCAAATCAAGAAATCGAACAAGAGAGCGCTTGAAACTTCAAATGTAGACAATATAATAAATCGAGTCCATCATTTCACGAACATTGGAAAGTGAGTTTTGTGGTTTAAAAGCGTTTCAAGCCTATGTTAAGGTTGGAGTCTGTCCGTCAAAATCAGCGATTACGCGGAGTTTACGAAAGCGCTCTTCACCTTATCTATCAAAAAGGCTAAGTGTATTCCGGGACTGTCATTGAAATGAACGCGGGCTTGAAAACTCCTCAAATCAGCTGTTTGTTGATGCAGTTTGACTTCTGATGCCTCTGAAAACGAAAAATGCAAGGATCATCTTTCCTTGAGTAGCATGACAGGTCCTAGGTGCTGCAAAAGTTTCATATTCTGGGATGTAACTCTACAAAAAAATTTGGGAGTCAAGGAATGCGATAATGTTTAAAAAAGCCAAGTGTCTTTATAATTATGTCCAGCTTGCAAAACAGGCTTTTTCGAATTTTTCCATTTTTCTTCGTTCGAAATCAACGGGATCCGAAGCCGTTCTGAGGAGTTATGGTTAGGCTTAAATGCGCACTTTACAGCAAAGTTTCAGACAGATTTACTGACAAGAACGATAATTACGACGATTTCTAGAGTGTCTCTATGATTATGTCCAGCACTGTATCTCAACAGTTTTTTTATTCTAAGAAAGGTTTTACGAAGGAGTCACTAGAAACGGTATTGGTTGCCGCGCATAATGTGCAGACTCGCCATACCAAGATACAAAATGGTAAAAGAATACAATCTCCTAATTCCTGCAATTACTCGTAGAAAGCTGGATAACACTATTACATCTTTAGGAAGTTACAGTGAACACACGGCGATGATATCAATTATGGCGCAGTAGTTCATCTTTACTGACGTGGATCCATTGTTTTTCTTGCCAGTCGGCGTATTTTTTTTTGTGGTGTCGTGATTCTGCCCTCAAAAAAAATCTGATGAACTAGCCACGTTTTCTTCCATAGGCCTTCCTATTCCACTCCCAGGTTCGTGGTGTAGGTCACAACTAAATGAACCAACCATTGGCGGGCAAGGCGAAGAAAGAAGTGATCCAGTCCACTTTCCAGAAAAAAAATTTCCTTTAGCAAAATTTTGAAAATCTTCGTTGCGAGCTTATAGTCACAGGCGAACATTTAAATCATTGTACTTTTAAAAACGCTGTCCCGTTGAAATTTCAAAGTTTAAGATGCAAACTCAGTGACTTCGTTTATTTTATATGATAAGCATTAAATGCAGCCATTGCAGAGAATAATTGCGAGACGACAGATTGCCCACCTGATGCTGTATGCGAGTATCGCGAGACGGAGTGCATTCCGGACAAAGCCTGCTTTGCGGAGCCAGTATGTGTCGTGTACGAAAGGATCGGTAGGTTTTTTTTTCTAAGAGAATCTCGAAAATCTTTCTAAAGTTTGAACTTTAGTCGCAGCTTAATTCCATCTAAGGATACAAGGCGATTGGGAGCTCGCAAGGCTGAAATTTCACCGAGCTTTCATATACTGTATAATAACATTGATATGAATTAGTTTTTGTTATAATGCCAATATGAGTTGCCGCATAATTTGTGTGGATTCTGTATAACATCAATAAAGTCTGTTTGTTTGAATTTGAACGAATACCAAAGTGACTTTCCTTACCTGCTTCAGTACAAAAAATCAATGTTTCTGTTTTCAACCAGGTTTTCACTTGATGATTTTAAACCGTTGTGCTTCTACTCAGATAATCTATTCCCTTCTTTGTATTCGCTAAGTGTCTCGCCATAAGACATTCCGTGCCCTACCGAGAAGATCACTTAAAATACGTAGAGGCCAATATAACGGTAATAGCTCTGCATAGCAAAAACTGCCATTACCATAATCCACAAGATTACATAGTCTGGAGCAGAGTTTAGCGGGTAGAAGCTCTTGGCATAGATGTAGAATGTAAAATGGCACAACAGCAGATTTGGCTAATAGACTTTGAATTGGAATCACCAAAGTGTAAAAGAAAGTGTAAAAGTGTAAAAGAAGTGCTTGCGCTTCGTCCCTTTTAGCAATTATAGTTGCTGCTCCTTTATTTGCACAGTCTGGAATAAGAATTTGGTTGCATGCTTGAGTAGTAGATGGCGAAAAGCAATAGAACAACAATGACAAATGCAAAATTCTCAACCATTATATGGGAGAATAGCTACAAAATGCAGTCAGCAAATCATGGCGATTCGATTTTTGTCCGAAGCCAATCTCCAAATATGTCGAAGGATATCTTTTGATCCATTCTGAAGCGAGATCAATGAGAAAAGTTGCCGATTTACTGATTTGAGAAGAGACTCGTAGCACCGGTTTTCATTTGTGCAAATTGGCTGCACTGTTAGTTGTCTTTCAGTTGATCTCAAAATCACAAGCGTAATTATGAGACCAACTAAAAAACACCTTGTTTTTCTGCCCTTAAAGGTGTTCAAACATCTGTCCTCTCACCTTAGGTGGAGAGTGTCTCAAAGTTGTTAAACGTCAGGGTCAGGCATGAGTCCGTTTCTAGCTTTCTTAGAAAGAAGGTTCCCCTTTGACTTTCGCAAAATTTCACGAAGTCCCCTTTGACCCTCATCGGAAACGCCGACTAAAAGAAACCTAACCCAACTTGTGTTTTTTCGGACCAACAAAAACGTTCCCTTTGCTTTTTTCGCCTTGAAAAAGCAAAGGGGATATCGTTAAGGGGCCTTGCTAAAGAAAATTTAAAGCAGTTTATTTGCTCACTCTCACAATAACCAATAGTGTGAATTCTAAGTAAAAATTCTGATTGGAGCACGAAGATTGTGATCGATGCAGGAGCAGTAGTGATTTTTTTATTGTGTGCAAATTTATAAATAAAGTGCTCAACTTTAGGATCCTCTGAAAACACATATTGTTTATTACCATCTGTACAACGACATAACACAGTTTCATTCCGGGTAAGACATTTGTCTGCATTTGTTCTGACATTTTCAGATGTGTGCAAACGCAAGAATTGTCTATAGGTTATTGGTTGATCATCTTCAGACGTTGTCTCTGCTTGTGCATTATGAATATTTTATCTTGAGAGCAATTTACAAATTGCACATGTCATTGTTAATACATATAAAGAGCAACTTTCAACTTTTTTGCTAGCTTTCCTTGCTCGCACCATGAAAAGGCTTTTACACAAGCGCGCTTTTTATATCTGAAGTATGGTAGTGTCAAAACCTACAACATGGGCTTAAAGTTGTTGCATTAATATAAACATGAAATTTAAGTTTATCGTTAGATTTTGCTAGTTACCTCCAACAATTTGTTGTGCTATAAAGCATATTGACATATGGAAGAGAAAGAGATCTATAAACATCCTCTTACAGCCATTGAAGGTGCATACGCTGTAAGCAGGCAAAGTTTTGTGAACTCAAACAAGATCTTATTGAAAGCCTTCCGTCTTGTTTTGGAAACGAAATGGAGAAAACCAAACCTTAACATATCCAAGCAAAGAGATTTCTCAGATGATATGAGATTATCAATTGATTTGAAAATGCACCAGCTTCAAGCGTGTCGGGAAACAGCAGACGTTTTTAACACCGAAACGCTCTCAAAAACGCTCTCAAAATTTTTCAATAAGGAATTTGTTCTATGAATCGACTTTGAACAGATACTTTGATCTGCCTTAAAAAACTTTTTTCACTCAGAAAATCTCCTAGAGTTGCTCCAAAAGAACATCGTCTTGAAGCCAAATTAAACAGTGCAATTCTATTTGATTTTTGATCTCACTTCGGCTCTTTCCTTAGCCCCTAGTCTGTTTTCAAGACCTTTTCAAATTTTTAAGTAGGCTCACATCATACGACCTATCACAGAAATTTATGGCGTAATTTGCGTCCAGAATTTTCAATGATTTTGTCGTGCCCTGCTGCAAAATGTAGCAGACTCACACTTGCAGTAGAGCATCGAACCTAACACTCAGTTGACAAGAAGAAGAATATGTAAGAGGCCTGCCGATCAAACATCTAATGAGCTTTTTTACTACTGCGAGCATGTTCCTCATCAAGATGACAGGTAAGCGTTCTTCTTAACTTCTTTATTTCCCTCTCTCACATTCCGGCCATATTTCGGTTCTAATTAAAAATCATCCTAAAAGATTTTCTACCTTGCAGACCATCGTTTTTTCGTGTAGTGTCCCAAAAAGATAGAACACTGTTTGGTCGCTTGTTTTCATGTCTTTCGCCGAGCTTGAGATACCATGCTATAAAGCGATTTTTTAGATTTACAAAGTGAAGCGAATCATCTCTTCATTACTGTAGGACACCGTATACATTTTCAGCATACAGGGCAACTATGGAATAGTCCTTTTGAGTGAGAAAATTCCAAAAAAACTGGAAATTTGTGTAGCAAGGTTTTCAGGCATGCTTGACCACACATCCTTTTGAAAGTTTTTCGAGCTTTCTAATGATGTAATCACCCTTCTAACGAACATTGGGAAAATAGTTGTTACGTTTGAAATAACTTATGAAAAAGCAACTTTTATATTCGGAATCAGTGACTTCGACTAGCTTAAGAGTTTCTGGCATGTTTTTGGGTTTTCTTCTAAGGCAAAAATCGCTTTCAATTTCTCAAAATCTTTTTCAAAATTCCTACCGTAATTCTGCAGTAATTAAGAGTGATTGATGATCCTTTTTATGCCGTAAATCTCCCCCTTTATACTGTAAATCTAAGTTGAACTTCGCGCTACAGAATGGTACCTCATTGCTCCGCGAAAGACGTGAAAGCAGCAAAAGTTATTAACGATCAAACATGTTCAAACCTTTTTGGAACAAACTGTATATTTGTGTGCGGCTCATCTTCATGAGTCTTCATGATAAGCTTGAAAGAATGATTACAGAGTAAAGTTAACAATTTATTCATTAACACACAGCGCTTTAAAGAGTGGTTTGCATCATCGTCCTCTTCTCAAACATTCACGTACTTATTGCACACGGGATCCACTTCATCGCGTTGAAGCGTATAGCAGTTCTCATACGAAGCACACTCGTATGTAGCAGTTCCATGCACACATATATTGCACGTGTTCTACAAAAGAGTTTAGGCAGTGCTGTTGAACATTGCATGTCTCTCATTAGAAAACAAGTCAGCGATGGACAACCAGTTGGATTGGTTTTCATTACAATTGGTAAATATAATGGTGGTAGCGAGATAGAATTTGAACTGATTCCCAACAGCGAACTTGGAGAATCAAATTACTGGCTTCAGTACGATTGCGATGCACTCCTTGTCGTTGTAACATGCAGAAAAGCAATCAGACCTATTCTCATGGGAAATCAACCAACCCTTGTAGAGCATGCCATAAAACTTATCAACTCTATCAAAAACGCAGGGCAAAAGAATTCCTGCCTGAAAAAAAGTTTGTACACAACATAAGAATACTTGACGAGCGTCTTTGGAAAATGAAGGCTAACCTGGATAAAGAGCAGTACAAGGGCAAGCCACTTCATTGCCGTCGCACCTGATCGGCTTCAAGCTCTAACAATGATCAAAACCTTCCCAAAAGCCTGTACCGCCTATTTGGTAGCATAGCTACCAGAAACAAGGGCAGTAAAAATTTTGTTACCAGGAGATTCGATTGTTCGCCGTTTTATGTGGATTTCCTGAAAGCAGATTCTCTTTGTGTCAGAGTAGAACACAAATCACAGTCGTTAGATAATACCATAAATCGATTTTCTGTAAAAATTTCGCCCAGTAGTAGCGACATTTTTGAAAATTTCGTAAAAGTAAACAATGTTAAGAGAGTGGGAAATTGAGCCTGTAAGGAGACTTACTAGCAGCATTGAATTACGAGGTTTTTTTCGATGGTATTCAATGAGGACAAGGTCATTAGAAGGAAACCAAGGCTTCAGTTCAAATTGGCAGAAGAGACTGTAGAATGAGAATAAGTGGTTCCAGAGGAAAAATCTTTATACGCTTCATCAAAAATGGAATATGTAAAAGAAAGGCAATTAACGGCCTTGACTATCTCAAAAAAGTGCCAAAGGATAAATCTCAAAATTGGGAACCCCCCGGTATTCTCAGAATGTGGGTCGTTCGCCACCTATTATACAGATTGTTCCAAAAAATGTACCAAACATTTGATACTCAATGACTTCCTCATATGGTAGCGGAAGACTTTGTAATCAAATTTAGCATCCCCGAAAAAATAGTTTGACGTTCTTCGGGTTTATTTTGGAATTTTTCAGAAGCGATCTTTATCTGTCAGAAGCCGAAAGTTAGTCGAAATTGATACCGTAATCTTATAGTAACTAAGAGGAATCGATGAGCAAATCTAAGTTAAAGCTAGTACTATATGGCACCCAACGATCCGCGGAAGCTTTCCATATAAGGAAGTTATTGAAGATCAAACGTTCG